CGGGTGAGCAAACTGGAATGAGAGCAGTTGAATGAGCTGAAACTGCACTTAGTTGATCACGCTGAAGGTTACAGGATGAGATGGAGGCAATGGTTATGGGATGGGGGTCAAAGGATACACAGGGCAAGGTGCACACCTCTTCTTGACAGATTACATTTGACCCCTTTGCACACTGGTTGATAGGCAGGTGTAAGAGCTGAGTGCTTATCTCACATGCTTGGCTGGTTCAGTTTTGCTTTGTTGTTTATAGATTAAACAGGGAGGAGCTGGACTATTGTAAACACGCAGACGTGTCGACAATACCTGCAATGAAAGGTGGGAGCAATTCCAAGACTGTGTGAAATGCGTGGGGCTTTGCCAACGCAACGTTACGTTGCACCTGTGATTAAAGTGGCTCAGAGCAGTGTTGCGGCCTTTAACACCCATCCCCAAAACGTGCAGTAATACCCAACAACAGCAACTTGCATTTTGTACAGCACCCCTCACCCAGAGGAGCGCCCCAGAGGGCTACAACGACCACAACAATTTAGAACATAAAGCACCCATCGCACAAGGAAACCATCTCGAAGTGTTTTACAAAAAACGAGAGTTGGAGTCCAAGCTGGGAGGGAGCGTAAGAGCGGTTAAGGGTTGGTCATAGTGCCTGAAATCACGGCCGCCGATGGAGAGGACGCGGGACGTGAAGGGGGCAGGTAGAGGAGTGGGATGTAAAGATGTTGGAGAGGTAGGGAGGGAGGTGCCAGGCCGTGAAGTGATTTGTAGGTGAGTGTGAGAATTTTTGAAATCGATCTGTTCTGTGACAGGGAGCCAGTGGAGCCCGGCAAGGACTGGGGTTGATGGGGATCCAGTATTTAGAATCGGTGAGGGTATCGTAGCAGAGCATTGAGTTAGTTGGACTTTGTGAAGTGTGGAATGAGTGCATTGGAAAACTCGAAGCAGGAGATGCCAAAAGCGGTGTTGGGTATGAGATACGGTTGAAGGCGGGTATGAGATGGAGGTGGAGGAAAGCAGTCGGGGTCCAGGACTGAATGTAGGGTAGACAGGACAACTAGGGATCGAACCCGGATATCCAGATTACACACAGGTTCAGTGGGTCTGAGGGATAGACTGAGGAGGTTAAGGAGTTCTAATCTGGTTAATCCTATTAAGCAGTTCTAATCTAATCTCCAGTTAATCCTCATCAGCAATTTTGGAGAGAAGAACTTTTAATGTAAAATATGCATTTCAGTCTCAGACATTTGCCCAGTTCTCTACTTACAGTCCTCATGAAAAAGTGATTAAAGTATTATTAAAATGTTTATGCTGAGAGAGACACTGGGGTGGTTGCCCAAGTCTCAGAGGAAGCTCCAGTCTCTTGGAATAAAGCAAGGAAGCATTAGATAAATTCTAGGTCAAAGGTTAGAATATATTTTCCGGGTGTAACACTTTAGTGATCTTTCATCAAAAGAAATCACTTTAACCACTGCGCTGATGGACTGCAGTTTTCCTTCGGTAAGTCTAAGAATCAACGGCAAAGTGCGTGGTTTTTTGCGTGCTCGAATGAGTTTAATTTACAAGTAACAACCCTGATTGAAAATGAACCCTTGTCCTCGTTACAAAATTCCAGCAGAATTCAAAACACAGGGACGCTTCAACCCTGCTCTCGTTCCATTGAAATTAAACCGCTTTCGGTCATCTTTCCTCTCTCTCTCTCCACAGCTCCCACTCCCGGCTCATGTGCCCACCCAATACTGAGAATAGGCTTTGGGTTGTCCTCTTGATGCGAAAGGCGTTGTATAATTAATGTAAATTGGATTAGATTGTATTAAGTCACGAAAGTCACACCATGAACCGAGAGTCAGGTCTGCCACATAAAAACCCTGTAACTTGTGGTGGGGGTGTGCAATTATGCCCATTAGAAATTGGATTGAGACATGTCAATCGAATCATTTTGGACCCTAACACGAAGCAGTGTGAACAGCAGAAATAAATATTTTACCATAGAAATGCAATGTATTGTCAGGTTTTGAAGCATTAGTTTGGCTCAGTTTTTGTACTCTTTGTGTCCAAAGGTTGTGGTTTAACATTGGGAATTGACCTGGCAGTTTAAAGTCTGTCTATCAGATTATGTGATGATAATAATAATACTACTACTACTAATAATAATAATAATCTTTGCATTTGATACAGCGCCTCATTACATTGTTGAGACATCTTAAAGCGCTTTACAGAATATTTTGTAAAATGGACTGATTGTGTATTTTGTGGGCGAAACGCGGCAGTCACTTGCACACAGCAGCGTCCCACAAACAGTCATAAAACAAGGCCATACCTGCCTCTTCAGGTTGACACTATTTGGAATTGTGTTGATATGATAACATAAGTCCTCCCAGTGTGAAAAGGGCTATATAAATGTAATCTGTAGTTATCGTTGTCTTTAAGCTACTACAGAAATGCAAATTCTTTCTTATATTGCTATTTGTAATAGACTACAAATTGCTCAGCACAGCACTATTGGAATGATGTGTGATAACTGAGGACTTTTATGTTGTACTTTAGTAAACAATTCTAAATATAATTGTGAAATATAAACCATGTGGAGATTTACAAGACAACACTTGCCGTTTGCTTTTGAACGGTATTATCAAGACACTTTGAAAGTCACTCGTAGACGCCCAGGATTATTTTAAGCCATATTTCTGTATGAATGGGTCTTACTGTTAATTCACGAATCGCTCAAGTACAAATTGTTCTTTCCTAGGTTCAATCCATCTTGTTTGTTTCAGTTACAGTTTAAGTACAATTCTCTACGGCTGAAATTGTAACTCAAAAACTAAGGGTGTCCAGTGGACAAATGGCGGAAGAGTTAAAGCCCATGTACATTATTTGGCGCCGTTTCAAATGTGTTCAGATATTCCAAGGGGAGATGTAGAAGTTCCCTGGAACCGTTCAGCATGTGGGGAGTGACATTGCCAAACACAGCCTGGCTTGAGGGCAGAACCTCTGACAGACTAGTTGGGGAGCTCAACAAGGCACTTCACAATCACACAAGGTGGAGGATCTTCCCAAGGCTGGAGCTTAGAGCGATCCACCTCTCTTAGGAACCAACATTTTATTAGCTCTTGCGCAAGCGATGTGGGATGTTCTGTTCAGAATTCATGCCCTCTAGCTATGCATTCTTATGCTGCACCCTTGTGTCATGGTACCCCTCCCACTCTTGTCAATCTCCGCACAGTTACTCTAACGAGGGGCGAAATTCCAAATACATTGCACGTACTTCCATAGCATCACTAAAGGTTTAAACCTTTGCCTTTATCGATGTCCTGAAAGAGCTGCCCCTTCCGGCCGTTTCCATCAGTAATGATAATCCTTACATTTGATCTCTCACATCTGGAAGATGTCTCGTAGCACTTCATAGGATATAAAGTGCAGTGACTATCTTTTTGCAGGTGAACGCGGCAGTCAATTTGCGCACAGCAGTGTCCCACAAACAACCATGAAATAAATGATCAATTTTAACTGGATTGTTGGCCTCCCTTCTCTTTTCAAATAACGCCATTGGATCTTTAACGTCCACCCGAACAGGCAGACAGAACCTTGGTTTAACATCTCATCCAAAGGATGCCATGTCCAACAATGCAGCACATCCCCAGCACCGCATATACTATATGAATTCCAGGTTCTTCTCAGCCTCTGCCAAAATGGCTGAGATGTACACATGAGCTTCCTCGATGCTGCCTGGAGCCATGCTAGTTTGCTGCTCCTCTGGCACTTCATCTGAAGGATGCTCATTGCTGTTGAAAGTAGCCGTCCGCCTCTGGTGATTTGGAAAAGTGCTTTGAGCAAAGGAGTAGCTGAGGTGGAAGGCATCAGTTCCAAGCACCAAGGGTCTCGCAGACGAAATGGGGGTTATGGGATCAGTAGAGGTGAAATGGGTTCCTGAGGAAAGTTGACACCAGCAGAATCTGGATTTTGATCGAACAAGATACGCTGGAGTATATTCAAAGCCATTCCACAACTCCAACACATGGCAGGAGAGCGAGCCACCACGGAGATCATGTCAGAGCTATTGTTCTCCAAGCGATTCCAAACCTTTTGAACAAAAATGTTGACCTGCTCATTGAGATACAAACATCCTTTCTTCTAAAGTACTTCAACAGTGAGGCCGCCATATCTAGAAATGTGATTTCAGGAGCTTGGTTTCAAACATTCCGAATATTTGCTTTTGTATCAAAGCAGATGAATCTAAAAGTCTTGCCTGAAAGCTGCTTTCTTAAAAATGTGTTCTTCTGCACGCTTTGAAGGGTAACCTCCCCCTGGATTGCTCAGCTCCGGCAAATCTGAACCATTGTTCTGTGGTGCAATGATTTATAATATCTTGAGTCGAATGTTTTATCAACAGTAACCGGTTCTGTTAGATCTGGCTCCTCCAGGTCTCCTCAAGGTCAATAAAGTCAGTCAAGCTCCAAGACACACAAGGCTTGAAGGGCGAAGTTGTTGTTGTTGTTGCAAGATGATATCTGGGCAGAGGAAGATTTGATAAGAGGTGGTGCAACAACTACACACAGAGCTGACTTCTGTCTAAGACATAGAAATTTATGGGCGAAAGCAGAAATAGCTGAAAAGAATGCGTTAATTGAAGGAATCTGTTCCCATTGTCCCTGCTTTACAAACTGCCATCTTTGTTTCTTCCACATCAGCCCGCAGATTGCTTGTGTCAATGGTTAACAACTGTGAATTCATCGTCCAAAATGACGGAATGACTGAGTCAACTCACGCTGATCTGCAGCTCAATGGAGATTCTCATCTCTTACCTTCAAATGCCTTCGCGGTCCCGCCCCATCTTACCTTTGTGTCTTCGTCAAACTGTAGGAACCCAATCTCTCCCTTTGCTTAGCAGTCTGGTTCATGCTTCCGCCCTAAGGCCTGAAAATCTGAGCAAATGTGGTCCATAATATGGTAATGTTTTTATTTATGGTATTTATCACAATGAGTTTTGCTTTTTAATCTTCTCTTCTTAGGTTTTCCTCATCTATGAATAAATAAACAAAAGTATTTGCCATGAACACCAGCCGCCAGCAGCCTTCAGTCCAAGTTGGTGAAAACAAATACATTTCCAGGTAATCAGTCAAAACTTTATCATTTGTATCCTTTTGCTAATATGTGAAAGCTTTATTTTCCGCCTTTATTTTTGATTGATCAGAATGGTGGTTGAACAGCGAAACAATGTTCCATGGCTTAGAATCGATATACTTATGTGCAAGGATCTATCTATGTTGGTATTAATATTCACAATTAAGAGCTAGGTATTAATATTGATAAATTTCAATCGATATTCCAGAGTCGTTACAGCATTGCTCTTGTCCAATATACAACTTCAGATGCACATTATTTCTTGGTAAACATACAGTTATCAACGCCAGGGATATTTCAGTGTGAATATTGTAAGGTATCCAATATGGAAAATGTACTTTACAGTTCTGTTTCCACACTGACAGCCTCCATCAGCACCAGAACAAACTCAAAGCTACATAAAGGTGGCCATAAACTTTACAGCCAGCAGTATAAAAATATAATTTTCACCGCAACAATTACGCGTGTCATGCATGTGTGTGAATCTTTGAACCATATAATTTACAGTACAGAAGGCCGTTCGGCCCATCGTGTCAGTGCTGGCTCTTTTAAGAGCAATCCTTCAGGTCCATTTACCTGCCCTTTCCCTATACTCCTGTAGTTTACTCCATTTTAGATATCTTTCTAAATATCTATCCCATTTGAAAGCAAATATGGTCATAGGCCAAACTACCCAGCCTCGGTATCATCCGGGTAAACCTTTCCCCCCACTCTATTGCCTTGATGTCTTTTTTAAAGTAGGGAAATCGGATTTTGAGTGGGACGAAGGTAGCCTTCACCTGTGAGAAGTGTCTTGCTCTAGCTGTAGACTCCTAAGGAAATTGAGTTTGAACCTCCTCAAGCCAGTTCCTGTGGACGTGAAACAAAATGCTTGTAAGTTGGCATTTATTCGAAGTTGAACTCACCGAGGCCTTAAGGTGACTGGTGTTGAAGGGAAAGGGAAAATTGTTCTATGAGAACTTCATCCTTTTTATTAACGCTTTGTATGTGTGCTATGAAAGTCTCGCTTTGAAACTTTCCAATCTATTTCCATTATTTTCAAATGGTTTAAATGGATTACGCATATTCATATAACACACACACACTATAATATATTATTTATGTTATAATATGTTAATATTTAACTTCTACAGAGCTGAGTTTTCATCATTGCTAAAAACGTACAACTGTTTTTATGAAGATAAGAAGAATTTGGAGCTGAAGGTTCATGAGGTAGGTAATCTTTGTAGATTGATTGGATATCCTGGACTATTTATTACTGAACTTCTATTAGTGGAAACATGTTCCTTTCCATGAGATAATAATAATAATAATAACAACAATAATAATGATCCTTGAATTTGATATAGTGCCATATCACATCTTCAAGACATCTCAGAACCCTTCGCAGAACATGTTGTAGAGTGAATTGACTGTATCTTTCTTTGTTTCCAAAGGTGCCTGTTACATAAAAGTGGCATAAACTTTACAGCCAGCGGAGTAAAAATCTAGTTTTCACTACAACAATTATATGGACAAAGCGTGGCAGCTAATTGCACACAGCAGTCTCCCACAAACAGTCATGGATTGAGTGACCAAATTATTTTATTTTTTTGAAGGAATTATTATTACCCCCGGAAAAGCGATCCGCCAATCGACTAACAACCGGGTTCCTACTTACTGGTCGGTAAACAGAGGCGTGTGGAGTAAGGAAACTTGCCCAACATTTCGCCCCCTGCCCGGGAATCGAACCCAGGTCTCTCGCTTGCGAGGCGAGTGCTAAGGTGCTATGTCAATCGCAAAGAGTGTTAAACGTTATAAAATGCAAGTGTGTTTGTACTTTCGTTCTTTGAGAAGGAAGAATGTGAAAAGAATGGTATAACTTCTTGTTTAGGTTCTTTACACGTGACACTATTTCTTCTGCAGGACAAAGGAAAAATAGTCATAGAGGGGCTATTAGATATTTCATGGGGTATACACCAGCCAATAAGATTACAAATTGATGACGAGAAATTATCAGCATCACCCAGCCCGTTGCAACCTCCAACAGAACCCTTCAACAAGGCAAGGTAAGCAAATTATAGTGAAGAGAATGCAACAACCTTTCAACAGCTGTGTGCATTTTTCCTTGCCAACTTTTTCTCGTTTCAGTGGAAGCTGCTGTATTTTAACAGCCCAGAGTCCTGGCAACCTGTTCCAGTTTTTTTTACTTGTTCAGTTCCTCTGAGATGTCTCCTTTTAAGACCGAAGAGCCCTAACTCGTCTAATCATTCCTCGTAGTTCATTCCTCTAACATTGGAGATTATCCTGTTGTTGCTCTCTTCTGTACTGCCTCCAGGGCCTGTGCTATATCCTGGATCAAAATTGTTTATAAATGTACCTTCCTCCCCACCGAACAAATAAACAAACACATACTCAGGCTTTCCTGCTAGCTGTAATATGTTAATACAAGCCCAGTAGTAAAGCCATGATTTTTTTTTGCAGTGGAATGACTCGATGGGGCGAGTTTGATGATCTGTGCAAAATTGTTGAACAGGAAGAAGAACACGAACCTTTGGAAACAGAGAAAATCCAAGACATGGGTAACTTGCCAAAAGTTCAGGGCACTATATGTTGGAAAGAGCAGAAACAAAACACATACCTGAAAGAAAGAAACACTAAATACACACCAGTTACATTTAGTTCGTCAACTGTATTGGGGGGAAAAGAATAAATGTAAGTCACGCTTTCGAGTGCTTTAATATTATCTGTTTTGGGAGAAATTGTGGTATGTGATATAATTAGCACACTGATAACTATCACATAGACAAAATGCATATAATGCTTAAAATCTGTCTTTACGAATAGACTGAATACCATCCCCTCCCTTCTGCAGAATGGTTTAACTCACAGTACTCTACAGGTCCACAATCTGTAGTATAGGGTATGGGGAAAAGGCAGGTAAATAGGACTGAAAAGATCCAGCAAAGACACAATGAGCCAAATGGCCTTTTCTGTGCTGTAAATTTCTATAACTATAGTCGGTGGGGGTGAGTGGGGGGAGGAGAGAGTCCAGTCCCAGATTTGTGGCCAAGGATAGGTTTTAAGACAATGGTTTAACTGCATGTTTTTAAATTCAAGTGATAATTGTTCCGTAACATATAGCATTCCACTCTTCCCTTCCCCCCCTCCATCTAATGATCCTACTCTATTGGAAGAGCGAATGAAAGATGCCAACCAACTGAGAAGCAGTTGGAAACCTAACATGTAAGATTTAGAATTGAATGACGTGCAAGGCACAATTTCCTCACTGTTTCCTCTCCCCCATCTCTATTTAACCTTCAGTGTATGAGAGTAGTACGTTAAAGCCGAAACGCTATCGAGAACCAGAAAATTTCAACTTAATACGTTCCATGAGCGAAGTAGCGTTGGTGAAGATGAGAGTGAAGAGCCAAGCCAAACTTGCAGCACAGAAAGCTCAGCGCCATAGGTTTTCAATTAACGGACACTTCTACAACTATAAGGTGAGCGTGAAAAAAACAATAATTAAATTGGTCATTTTCAATGTCTGTGGGACATTGCTGTGCGCAATTGGCTGCCGCGTTCGCCCACAAATATACAGTCAATTCACTTTACAGTGTGTTCTGTGAAGCACTTTGGGACGTCCTCCCGACGTGAAAGCGCTATATCAAATGCAAGGATTATTATTATTAAGGAGAAGTGCGATGACCCTCCACAGAGCATAACAGAGAGAGTTTGTGATGTAACGTGAGGACATGACTTGTACCTTAAAGTAGTCTTTCCAAAGCGTAAAGCAACATATCTTGTAACAAAGCTTAGTATCATCAGAAATGTTATGTTCTCCTGTAGCTCAGTGGTTGGAGCACTCGCCTTGCAAGCGAGAGACCTGGGTTCGATTCCCAGCAGGACAAAATGTTGGGGAAGTTTCCTTACTCCACACGCCTCTGTTTTCCTAGCAGTAAGTAGGAACCCAGTTGTTAGTCGATTGGCGGGATCGCTTTTCCGGGGGTAATAATTTCTTCAAAAAAAATTAATAACAATGATAATAAATCGGCCACTTCAATCCACGACTGTTTGTGGGACGCTGCTGTGCGCAATTGGCTGCCGCGTTTTCCCCACAAAGTATACGGTCAATTCACTTTGCAGTATATTCTGTGAAGCGCTTTGAGACGTCTCGAAGACGTGATAAGGAGCTACATCAAATGCAAGGATTATTATTATCAGGTACAAATAGTTTGAACAGCTATGGACCCAGAAGAGTCTTGTTCTAGCATTAGATGGTTTGCAATTTTGATCTTCATAAAGCCAAAGTCATTACTCCAGTATTAGGGACAGAGAAACACATGTAACCACCAGAATTCAGCTGCTCAGTAGACGAGCAGGGATTGGTACCTACCCACCAGAACAAGAGAGGATATGATTTTTTGTATTTTAAAGAAAACGGATCCCTGTTCCCGAGAACGGGTTCTTTAACTCCCAATGTCTTATACATCTATAGTCTTGGTGCTCCAACAAAAACAGTGGTGTGAAAGCAAGCGAGGAAGACAAAGTGCCACTTAGACTAGTTCCTCGATGTAGTCTGCACCTTGTCACCTGATGATAATAAATGCCAAAGGAATTTATTTTAATGTGAAGTACTAACTCTCTTTTGTCTCTTAGAACCTGATATGTCTGCGAACAAACAGAAACCCTTGAAACCTCAGTTATTGGGAGTCTAAACATAGAATCTACTGCCATATAAAAGATAGGAAATGTTAGGAGATGCGAAACTGTTATTCACAACTCATTGCGCTTAAATGTGTTGGCAATCTGTCTCACCCTTGCTCATTATAAATCTTACTCTGCTTCTCATGTTGACAGCTCCCGAACAGCAAATGACTTCTCGCTTTCTTGACCACATTTTGCTGTGTCGGCGGATACCAGTTTACGGTGCATGTTCAGGATGCGTTAAAACTTTGAATAATTATTGTGTGAAAATGAGCTTTCCGGTGAACATGTGAAGACTGGAACAGACATTAATTTGGGCCTCTGGGAACTATGTGACTCGAAATTCCACCTAATCTCAGTCCTAACCTGACCATTTTGTCTTAAAGTTTGTGCAGTATTGTGGAAAAGTCTTGAATTCAAGTTTTACTTTGAAAGCCTGCCTTCTCTGCCAGTGCAAAGAGAAATTTGAAACCTTCCTTTAAATGTTTAAAGAGTTCTCAGGGTTCAGTTGGACTGCCTTCAATTGTAAACAGTAGTTAACAGAACAGGCAGCTCTTGAGAAAGATTACGTGTAATACACAGAAATTCAGAAATCAGTGATTGGAAAAAACCATTGATACATTTTATGCAAACTTCACTTTTTAATAATGATAATTCTTGCATTTGATATAGCTCCTTATCATTGAGACATCTCAAAGTGCTTCACAGGATATCCTGTAAGCAGTGTGACTGTATTTCAAGGTTAACGCAGCAGCCAATTTGCCCAGAGCAATGTCCCACAAATAACCAAGAAGTAAATGACCAATTTATTAAATGCAGTGCAAGTGTCAAACCGGTTCCTGCAGAAGAGCTGCAGTTATGAGCTATAAATAAGAATGATCCTTAGATTTCTTATAGCACCTTTCACATCAGGAGGTGCGTCCGAAAATGCTTCACGGTAGATACTGTACAATCTTGTATGATTTGTGGGCAATGTGGCCGGCAGTTTGTGCAAAGCAGTCCTGTAGCTCAGTGGTTAGAGCGCTCGCCTCGCAAGCAAGAGACCTGCGTTCGATTCCCGGCAGAGCGAAACCTTGGGCAAGTTTCTTTACTCCACATGCCTGATAATAATCCCTCAAGAAAAATAATAATACAATAATAAAATTGGTCACTTCAATCCAAGACTATTCGTGGGGACACTGCTGTGTGCTCTGCTGCGTTTCACCCACAAATATACAGTCAATTCATTTTACAGTATATTCTGTGATGCGCTTTGAGACGTCTCGAAGACATGAAAAGTGCTATATCAAATGCAAGGATTATTATTATAATAAAGTAAATTAAATCTCATTAAGTGGTAGCCTGACTACCTGATGTGTCAGGCTGGCCAAATCCCTTACTGTCCAGCGCCTTGGGACGTCCTCCTGACGTGAAAGGCACTCTACAAATGTAATTTGTTGTTGTTGTTGTAAACAGCATTGAGTTGAATGACCAATTTTATTTGGGGAATTGTTGGCCAGAAGCTGCCTTCTGTTTTCGAATAGTGTCATGGGATCTTTAATGTTCCACCTGAACAGGCAGATGGGGCCTCAGGAATGTGAGGACAATTGCTGGGATACCATACCGTAATTAATTGGTCGGACTTTGTTTGACGACTAACACTGAGAAACTACAGAAATTCTACAACATAGACAATTCGTTTTATCTGAATGCTGGTCCTAATAATAATAAGAATAATATAATAATCCTTGCATTTGGTGTGGTGCTTTGGACATCCCAAAGTGCTTCACAGGATCTTTTGCTGAGAAATGGAGTGACTGTGTATCTGTAGGCCAACACGCCAGCCCAATAACACACAGCAATGTTCCACAAACAGCCATGTAACGAATGACCAATTTTATTTGGGAGATTGTTGGCCAGGACACCAGTGGAAACTCCTTTCTCTTTTTGAATAGTACCATGTGATCTTTAACGTCCACCTTAACAGGCAGACTGCACCTTGGTTTAACGTCTCATGCGCAGGTCAACATGTCCGGCAATGTAACCCCACTCCCCCACACCCCCCAACCCCAGCCCTAATCAGTTTAGATTATGTGAGGTCAAGTCTCGACTTGGGGCTTGAACCCACAACTTTTTTGACTCAGAGGCGAGAGTGCTACCACTGCGCCGGGCTGGCAATGTTTCATGTGACACGCACTCATGTGATTTTGATTATCAGATTGTTGTTTATTGCAGAATATTACTGTCGTACCTTCTGTTGTAAAACGCTGGAGGAATGTAAAAATATTGGCTTTATGTTTTTGCAGACAGCTGTCTTCACGCCAACCTATGGCTCTGTGACCAATGTAAGAATCAACAGCACAATGACAACCCAGGAAGTAATAGAGCAACTTCTACAGAAATTTAAGGTGACTTGCTTAGTTTTACCTTGTGCATGTATAGATGTTAGTAAGATACTTGTGCTTACAGTGGCACAAACGCCAGGAGCAGATTCTAATTTGCTCCAAGACTTGGAACCCCTTACGGCTGAAATGGGATTGAGAAAGGAAAGGAACAGTATTTTTAAATGTGGCAAGGCAGCAGAACGAGAGGGCGCGTGTTTAGGGTATTTAAAGATTGGAACTGGTTACTAAGAAGAGTAGTTGAGGCCAAAACCTGGACTCATTTAAAACAGCTTGTGCTGTGATGGGTGGACTTTAGAGTTGGGTATTCTAGAATGAGATCAGATGGGTCAAAACACTTTCTTCATCTGAACGGCTCTTGTGATTTAGCAATAGCTTTTCCTGTTAAACAGCAAATATTGGTAAAAATTCTGCCTTTGTGGTAATTAGTGCCTGTGATGGTTATTGCACAGCATGATTTAGCAACTGAATGCTCATTCAGATACAATTTTCACCCTATTCTGTACATAAATTATGACTGATAAACCAGGTGCTAATATAATATTGAGATTGCAGGAGTAGCAATAAATTCACACAATTTGGAAAAACTTAAATGTACTGAAACAACTACGTCTATGTTTTGTTTATCTTAATACAGTATTTGGCTGGTGATTCATCCACAGCTACATAAAACATTTATGTTTGATATAGTTGAACCCGACTTCTTGATGTGATTTACAAGGGGTTCGCTGAAGACATTGCTCTTTATGTGCTTTTCTAGGGTCATTTCTACTGCTTTCCAATAAGTGCATTTTCAGCACTAACAGTCGTCAGTAGTACTATACAAAGCAATTTTGTGTGATACAATATGGGATTGAATAAAATCCATTTGATTTAGTTTGCTGTGATACATCTTCCCTTTCCCTACAGATAGAAAATGATCCTAATGAGTTTGCACTGTATGTCGTTCATGCCACGGAAGGTAAGCTATCTAAAGGGTTTCTCCTTTTGTGTTTGGTTTGTTCTTCCTTTTAATATTGACCGTTAGAAATTACTTATCCATTTGTAGCTGGAAACAGTAATACAAAACTAAACACCAATTGGCTCAGTAAGTAGGACACTTGCCTTTGAGTCAGAAAATTGTGCAATCCAGCCCTATATCATGAGACCTCATAGTCCAAGCTGACACTTGGTGCAGCACATGGGTGTCCGACTGATAAAAGAGGTTTTAACTGGACAATAAAGACCTCATGACACTATTCAAAAGAGAAGGATATTGTCCTGGCCACAATCTTCCTGCTAAAATTACTCAATAACTTCATGGCTGTTTGTGGGACTTTGTTGTGCGTAAACTGATTCATTTGCCTACAAATGCAGGCTTTACATCTGACAACAATTCCATATTAAGTTATAGTGCGTTGAGGCACTATATTACATGCAAGTATTTGATATCAACTAAATTTAAGAATTTACTGCAATTTTTCTCCATCTTAAACGTTAAGACAAAATGGTCTCACAGGCTAAGACGGGATACAAGTTTAGGTCTCAAGTGAGCGGTGATATTGTTGGAGCGTGAAAGGGCAAATGTCAAAGTCACGTGTGCTACATCTCATCAAATTGTATGGATTTATGGTCTTTTACTTTACAGAAAAGAAAAGGCTTAATGATACAGCATTCCCACTCTGGGAAAGGCTGCTTCATGGACCATCAGGGAAAATTGTGAAAATATTCCTAATGGACAAGGGTGCAGAAGAAATTAGCAATGCTGTGAGGTTTTTTTTATATATGAACGTACATTTTAAAGTTTGCCATTAAGAAGGTTTTTATTCTCACTCTAGAATATTATTACTTTCAACAGGTGGCTCAGTATATCAAGTTTGAACCCCCACTTCTGGAAGTAATTCTACAGAAACTAAATGAGGAGGAGGACAAATACATTAGCAATATAGTTTTCAAGTAATACATTTTTAATGATTTAAAACGCGTTGTTGTCTGTTGAAACGATTGCTTGGAGTAATGTTGCAGTCATGTCACTAACAGCTGTTTGTTGCAATACTCACATTGGCTGCCGCATTCACCTACAAAATACACCGTCTATACAATAAACCCTGTAAAGTGCTTTGAGGCATCCTCCCGACATGAAAGACTCTGAACCAAATGGTAGGATTGTTATTATTCTAGTTTTACAGCAATGAATTTGGAGTCTAACAAAGTCTGCAAACCAGATTATTTGAGTCAATTGCAATTTCTGGGACATCATTTTGAAATATCCAGTCAACGTTCCAATACCACAAAGACCAAAACACCACAAAACATCACACCATCCTTTTTTTTTTATTTAGCCTTGACTGACTTTCAGGGTCAGAAAGTTGGCAATTTTTGGGAGGCTTGAATCACAATCTATAAATTCATGTGACACAGCAAATGCGGTTTGCAACTGTCACTTCAATTTGCCTTTCAGCTAACGCTGCAGCTGTCGTGCAGTAAATCAACAGAGCAGAGAAACAACAGCAGCAACTTAGACTTGTGTGTCAGCCTGCCTCATGTGGTAGCGCTCTCGCCTCTGAGTCAGAAGATTGTGAGTCAGAAGCCCCCAAGTCAGACTTGGAACTCATACTCTATTGGGGTGTGCTGCACTGGACGTTAAAGATCCCATCGCACTATTGGAAAAGAGAGGAGATTTTCTCTCTCCCAGCGTCCTGGCCAACAATCTCCAAATAAAATTGGTCACTCACTCCACCGCTGTTTGTGGGACATTGCCGTGCACAAAATTGGTTGCCCCATTTGCCCACAAAACACACAGCTACTAAACTTTACAGTATATAAAGTATAAAAATACAAATATATGATGTGATACTTATCACCAGCAATTGTCACATCACACGTCACAATTTACAGCATCTACTTTTGGGCAGAAAATGTTTTACACTTCCCTGCTCTTTTGTTGACAAAGTTTGGATAAACTTTAAATCTTATGCCATCGGAATCAATGTGTGAAAGCATAATCAGTAAAAGTGATATTTTTGTTATTCATTTAACGGTTAATTATAATTATTGCTTGTTTTACTAAAAAACTCCTTGTGTGATGTATTTCAGGTACAAAAGAGAAAAAAGATTTTTAGTGCAGCAACTGCGGACACGGTTGATGGTAAGGGCTGAAACCAGCGTTTAAAACCAGGACGTTCAATACAGGATCCAGTCTATCTGAAGGCATTAATCAGTGATCATATAAGTCTGCAGTAGTATCCCATTCCACTACTAGGATCTTACTGTTGTACTTTCTATTCCCATTTTATTTCCCTCTCCCTTCAAATTATACAATTGTAAAATATTGTACTCTGTAACCCTTCTGTTTAATTGCACATTTCTGTTTTTGTTCACTGGATATACAGTAATTTGATTGTGTAGTTTTATATAAAGCTTGAGATTTGCATCACAATGAACATTGTAAATACAATGATGTGGAACTGTTGAGTTCCCGACACGTCCTGCTAGTTATCGTTCACTGAATTGTTCCCATGTAAAGAGTTGTAACTTGATTTGAGTTATAATAATCCTCTCATTATATTATTTTACTGTACGGTGAGTAGTTTGATGTTTTATCAAGCTCGAGAAACACTGCGTCTTTGTTAACAAAAACAGAAGTCGCTGGGAACACTCAGCAGGTTCAGGCAGTATCTATGGAGAGAGGAAAGTGAGTTAACGTTTCAGGTCGATGAACACAAGCTTTGAATTTATGGAACGAGTCCTATAGTAGTTAGAGCACTCGCCTCACAAGCAAGAGGACCTGGGTTTGATTCTCATTAGGGCAAAACATTGGGCACGTTTCCTTAATCCACACGCATCTGTTCACCTAGCAGTAAGTAGGAACCTGGTTATTAGTTGATTGGAGGATCACTTTTCCGGGGCTAATAATCCCTTTCCAAAAAATTACAATAATAACTCGGTCACTCAATCCACGACTGTTTGTGGGGACGCTGCTGTGCGCAATTGGCTGCTGCGTTTTGCCCACAAAATACACAGTCAATTCACTTTATAGTATATTCTGTGAAGCGCTTTGAGACATCTCGAAGATGTGCTAAGGCGCTATAACAATTGCAAGGATTATTATTATTATTTTATTTGTTAACCTGGATTCCTTAGTTAGGAGTATGAGTCACACAAGTTGTGTCACAAGTTATGTCACACAGAAACTCGACTCTGCTGCAGTCGACTTCTAGAGAAGAGTTCCCACAGATTGATGGTAATTCTAACAGCATTCTTTTAAGAAATCCAGTTTATGCAATACTGCAAATCAGTTCCCTCTCCCACAATGTGACAACTGAATACAGGGTGTGAAATTAAATCAGAATCAGCAAATATGGATTATATTTCATCTCGCATGTAAACAAGTGCCCTTGAAACTGATGTTTTATTAATCTCTATTGTTCTGACTTTGTAAGGAGACTTGTTTGTCCCTTCATGTATTTTGTTTCCCATTTAAAATGAGTGGGAAAATCACAGGAACATTTTCCAATTCGGTAAGCATGAAGCTTTTCAGCCCTGCTTGTTTACCTCTCATTGTTTTAGATGAGAGAGATGAATTGAATACAATTGTGACCCTAATGTTACTATTGAATTAGTCGCTGTTTATTATTCTTTTTCTGTTGATATTATATTCTGTTTATTTTGCTATATTTGTGATCTGGACAAATTAAGTTTCTGTTAACCTGCTCCGAGATACAGAACCTATGAATTGCCGTTTCTGGATCAAGCTTCACTATTTATGGAAGCCGTATTCCATTTGCTGAGTTTTGCAGCCTATGCATTTAATAATAAAAAATGTAAAGAAGAAACAAACATCCGTTGTTAATTTATTAAGCATACAATGGAAGCCCATTCTGATGGGTTGGTCCTCTGATCCACTTAAAGTCTGCATTCATGGTTATTTCTGTGATATTATACATTTGTATTCCAATAACTGGTTACGATGAGCTTCGTGTGAATTCCTGCTGGTTGGTAAAGTTACCTGCTTTGCCAGCCGTGCAGTTATAATGAAGAAATTTCTTTACAAGTGCACACCTCCAAAGTCAGTTTTTTCTCTCTTGCAATAAAGATTAGTGTAACTTGGATCTTTCTAGGCTCCGACTCGCAATGTTGCAGGAATAGTTGGTGCGATCAACCTGTGAACAAGAGCTGGTCACTAAATCCGTTACTACAGAAACAATCAGGAGCAGAATTTCTTCAATGTAGCAGTGTTCCCACATGTACAGAGGTAATACAATTGCCTCTAGAGCCCCATCAAGGAATATAAAAATAATAATCCTTGTATTTGATATCACCCTTATCACGTCTTTGAGATGCTTCAAAGTGCTTCACAGGTTACACTGTAAAATTGTGTGACTGTATTTTGTGGGCAAACCCGGCAACCAATTTGCACACAGCAATGTTGCACAAACAGCTATGGCGTGAATGACCAATTTTATTGAGTGATTATTGGCCAGGACAAGGGGATGAACTCCCTTCTCTTTTCGAATAGTGCCATGGGATCTTTAACGACCATCTGGACAGGCAGACGGGACCTTAGTTTAAGATCCCGGAATGCACAGACCTATTATAATATCAAGTGGTGTTATTCTCTATCGTTAGTACAATAGTATGTTTGTACGTTCATTAGTACTCCCCACCTTAAAAACCTGCCTTAAAACCCATCTTTCTGACTGCACTTTCGGCCACCATCCTGCTTGTGCCTGGAGGATGAACCGAGCAGGCAATGAGGGTAGAGGAACCTGCATAGCATGAGCCACTTAAGCAGCTTAGTCACACCAACCAATGTTATCAGTGTAATTGGGGAACCTCAGAAGTGGCACTGCATAAAGAAAATTACCCGTTTAGGTCCAACCCCTCGTTCACAGTGGCTGAGGGAATTTGCACCCAATAAGAATTAATCTGTCTGAAAGCAGATTAGTGCACTTGTTTAAGGTTGTTGAAACTCTGGGAGTTTTCTGTGATCTCCTAGTGAGTCTAAGCTTTCTGTGATCTATTTCCTAATGACCCCAAGCTACCCTTCACTCGGCCCTCACTATTAGTTGTACCTAATATCTGCCACCAAAGGGTGATCCAACACTTCAATACACACATAGATTGAGTATTACAAAGGGTTACTGCCTTTTCACATCTGTGACCAGAGTATCAATCTGGGCCAGACCGCTTGAATGAAAGGCTGAATGAAAGTTTTGTTGTCTTCTCTCTCCTGACTTTGAATCCTCTTAACCTACGGGTGAAAACTGGTGATTCTTAGCAAATTTTCAACCCAAATCTTAGCCCGAAAGACTATTTTATCTTAAAATTTAAGATTGCACAAGATTGTCAAAGGGTACTAGGATGTTCCTAGCTAGAAAATTGATGGGACACTTGCCAGTAAGTGCTTTCAATGCTATGCAAGTTTAGCTGGTTAGACTTCAACAGTACCCCAATGAACTCTGCCAATCTGCACCTAATACTTTCTGGAATTGGATAAGCAGGATGTGTTTCTCCAGTGCGCATATCATTTCAATAAATGGGATTTTTCATGTGTAGGTGGGATGAATGGAACTCTCGGTTTGGTTCGGCTACACTTGAGCGCGGTGATGGGTTTACACATGTGTCAGACACCCTGCTAATAATAGGTGAGGAAAATGAAGCTGGCTAGTGTTTGGTTGAAGCTGGCTAAATGAAGCTCCACTAAGTGGAGTGAGCATATTTCAGGAGGTTGCGGAGATAGAAGGGGCCTCACAGAGCTGGTGCGGGAGAGGACACTGGCTGTAGAATTCCAGATAATCTCCAACTTGTCAAGGGAGGTGATGAGGAGTCTGACAGGCAGAGTGTTGGAAGAATTTAGCCTGGTCATAACGAAGGAAAATTCAGTTTTAAATCGGAAGTTGGTTCTTTTTAAGAGTGCAAAAAACTGGCTTCCAAATTTAGATTAAATTTAAGAATTTTCCACAGTTCCATAATAATATCTTAAAACAAAATTATCTAAACAGGCTGTAACTAAGGTGTATTTCAGGTCCTTGATATGTTAACTAAAAACTATGTCCAGCTTTGTGCTGCACAAGCTGAAGAAGCCCACAAGAAGGTTTACAATTTTCACCCGAAATTTCTAGTTGAACAGCTTCTACCACACAAAAGTGTTTATCGTCCTAGCAATGATACAATGCTTTCATGGCACAAAGATATCTCAAAGGCCATAGAACATAAAGTATAATGACTCCGTATTTTGTAGGCAAAATGCAGTAATTAATTTGCACACAGCAATGTTCCACAAAGAGCCAGGAAGTAGATGACCAATTCTATCTGGGAGATTGTTGGCCAGAATACTGGGAGAAACTACCTTCTTTTCAAATAGTGCCATGGGATCTTTAACATCCACCTGAAAATGCAGACAGGATCTTGGTTTGACGTCTGACCACTGAAGAAACCAGTTTGTCTAAACCTTGATCATCATAGCTCATTCCTCATTTATCGTCCCTCCAAACCCTCCCCGGCCTTCATCTCTGACATCTCCGCCCTTCTAGCTTCCCTCTGCCTCTGCTCGTGTACTGTCCCGCACCAGACACCGCGACCACATCACTCCCACCCTCGCTCGCCTCCACTGGCTCCCCATCCCCCAGAGGATCGAATTCAAGATCCTCATCCTCACCTACAAGGCCATTCACGGCCTCGCTCCCTCCTACCTCTCCGACCTACTATCCCCCTACCTACCTGCCCGTACCCTCCGTTCCTCTGGCTCCGGTCTGCTCCACATCCCCCGCCCCAACCGCCCTACCATCGGTGGCCGGCCTTCAGCCTCTCAGCCGAGCTCTGGAACTCCATCCCCCAGTGCCTTCGCCGCCTCCTCCCTTTCCTCCTTCAAGGCCGGTCTCAAGACCTTTCTCTTTGACCGTGCCTTCAGCTCCCCTCTCGACTCTCTCCCCCTCCTCGCCCCCTCCCTTCCCTCCCCTCACCCTGACCATTTCCCCAATGCTCGGTCCCGACCCAACTGTCCAGCGCCTTGGGACGTCCCCCCGACGTGAAAGGCGCTCTACAAATGGAATCTTGTTGTTGTTGTTGTTGCTGTTGCTCTGATCGCCTCCGTATCCTCGGCAACTTCCAAGTTTCCTTACTTCGCACGCCTGTGTTCACCGAGCGGGAAAGAGGAACCGGGTTGCGAGTCAACTGGCCGATCGCTTTTCCGGGGCTAATAATTCCTTTTAAAAGAAAATTGATCGCTTCGACCCACGGCCCTCTGCGGGGGCCGCCGCCGCGCGCAATCGGCTGCCGGGTTTTCGCCCACAAAATATACGGTCCATTCGCTTTACGGTCGAAGCGCTTCGAGACGTCTCGAAGACGCGATAAGGCGTTGTATCAAATACAAAGATTATTGCCATTGTTGTTATTATTATTATTGATCAGTGAAAGACCAGAGAGGGGCGTGTCCTTCTCTGTGACGTCAGCGCGTCGCCGCCCACATCGGTCCGGGAGAACCGACGGGCGCGCCCCTCTCTGTGACGTCAGCGCGTCGCCGCGCGCATCGGTCCGGGAGAACCGACGGGCGCGCCCCTCTCTGTGACGTCAGCGCGTCGCCGCGCGCATCGGTCCGGGAGAAAAGACGGGCCCGCTCCTCCCTGTGACGTCGGCGCGTCCCGAAGACGGTTGATGAGCGCCGAGTCCGACCGTTGCTGCGCACGCGCAGTCCCCACCACCACAGCAAGTCACACACGGAGACGGCGGTCTCTCTCCCGCATCGCCGCCATGGACCCGCAGAGGGTGAGTGAGGGAGGGAGGGAGGGGCTGTGGCCGGAGCCGCCTCGGGCCGGGGCCCGTTGGTTACTGATGCTGATCGTCTCCTGACAGTCCGGACCCTGATTGCATCTTCCTCACCGCCCCCCCATCCCCTTCCCCCCCCACCCCAACCCCCACCATCCCCCCCCACCCCAACCCTCGCCAACCCCCCCCGCCCCACCCCCCCATCCCCCCCACCCCCCCATCCCTTCACCCCCACCCCACCCCCCCATCCCCTTCCCCCCACCCCCCCATCCCCTTCCCCCCACCCCACCCCCCCATCCCCTTCCCCCCCACCCCCACCCCCTCCCCCCCACCCAACCCCGCCATCCCACCCCACCCCATCCCCTTCCCCCCCACCCCAACCCTCGCCAACCCCCACCCCCACCCCACCCCCATCCCCCCCCCCCACCCCCCATCCCCTCCCCCCCCACCCCCTCCCCTCCCCACCACCCCAACCATCGCCATCCCCCCCACCCCAACCCTCGCCAACCCCCCCACCCCACCCCCCCCCCCCCCCACCCCAACCCTCGCCAACCCCCCCCACCCCACCCCCCATCCCTTCACCCCCACCCACCCCCCATCCCTTTCACCCCCACCCCACCCCCCATCCCTCACCCCACCCCCCATCCCTTCACCCCCACCCCACCCCCCATCCCCTCCCCCCCACCCCCCATCCCCTTCCCCCCCCACCCCCCCATCCCCTCCCCCCCACCCCAACCCTCGCCAACCCCCCCACCACCCCAACCATCGCCATCCCCCCCCACCACAACCCTCGCCAACCCCCCCACCCCAACCCTCGCCATACCCCTCCCACCCCAACCCTCGCCATCCCCCTCCCACCCCAACCCTCGCCATCCCCCTCCCACCCGAACCCTCGCCAACCCCCCACCACCCCAACCCTCGCAATCCCCCCCCACCCCAACCCTCGCCATCCCCCTCCCACCCCAACCCTCACCATCCCGCCCCCACCCCAACGCTCGCCATCCCCCCACACCCCAAACCCCGCCATCCCCCCCACCCCAACCCTCGCCAACCCCCCCCACCCCAACCCTCGCCAACCCCCCCCCACCCCAACCCCCCCACCCCAACCCTCGCCAACCCCCCCACCACCCCAACCCTCGCCATCCCCCCCCACCCCAACCCTCGCCATCCCCCCCACCCCAGCCCTCGCCATCCCCCCCCACCCCAAATCCCGCCATCGCCCCCACCCCAACCCTCGCCATCCCCCCCCACCCCAACCCTCGCCATCCCCCACCCGCTCGCCAATCTCCACCCCATCGGCACCCATCATCCTCGCCAAACTCCACCCCCCTTCCCTCGCCACCTCCCTCCCGCTCCAAACCCCACCACCTCGCTATCCCTCACCCTCGCCATTCTCCACCCCCTCGCCCACCTCCCTCCCTCGCCCACCTCCCTCCCTCGCCCACCTCCCTCCCTTGCCATCCCCCTCCCTCGCGAGCTCCCATCCTCGCCAGCCCCCACCCGCCACCCCGCAGAAAAGTACTATTAAAATAGTACGTTAATGTATTGTCAGCACTGAATTCTGATCAGATTTGGCAGCCTGCAAAATGCTTGACTTCCAACATGATCTTAATTCAATGAAGGGTGTTGCTCTAGCCCCTTGGCAATATGCTTCAGTTTTCTTCAGTGCGAATTGTATAACTTATTTAAATAGTTATATAATCATCTGTACTTGTTTCGTTGCAAATGGGCTACAAATTTGACTGTGAAACCATGTTATTTTGTGCACGTTCATTTTAAACGTTAAATTTGTCGGCTTCTGATGATGTGTAACGCTTTGTAAAATCTTGGTCAGTATCCCATCTGGAAGTCATGAAATTGTTGTTGGGAGTCTTTATTTGTCAGCTGTTTGTTATGAGCTTGAAACACATGCAAAGATTACTCTCGATCGCGAGTATATTGTGTCTTTTTGAAAAAATGAACGGTTTAAGCCATCTGAAATAAGCTTTGCAACAAAAACTTGCAGTTGAAGCCAAACATGGATTGACTGCTGTCTGATTCAACTCACTGTTTGCAACGGCATTTATAGGATTTGGGGATTAGCAGTCAGACACAAATCCCTTGTCAATAGTGGATAAAGTAATATGTTGTAATTGCGCAATTTGGTGCTGAAGCTCCACCCTGTTTGTTAGATACGCAGAATCTGATTAGACTACTAGATTTTGGTTAACATTTACAGTCACTTAGGTGCCCAGATTTTCAGACCCTATGGTGGCGAGATAGGGTAGAAAATGGATAAACAAAAAAACACGGGGCAAAATATCCAATGGTTAAAAAAAAAGCTACTATTTTTGGAAAATGCAAGGATTATTAAAGGGTTGGGTGGTGAGGAAAACTGAAGATTGCACGCTCAAAAAGATTTATTTGAGAAAATCTCAAAATATTAATTGCTATTCACTGCAAGTGTAGCAGGGTACAAAAACAGGATTACAATGTACAACTAAAATAATAATCCTTGTATTTGATATAGCACCGTTCTGGTCAGGAGAAGATCTCAAAACACTGTTGGCGTCTTGATTGACCCTCAACTGTCCTTTCTATCCCACATCCGTGCCATGACCCATTCTGCCTTTCCCCACCTCAGCAACATCGTCTGGCCGCGTATTTGCCTCTCCCCTCAGGCCGCCAAAACCATAATCCACGCATTTTTTAAATCTAGGCTAGACTACGCCAACTCGCTGCTCGTTGGCTTTCCCAACTCTTCCCTCCGCAGGCTGCAGATCATCCAGAACTCTGCAGCTTGTGTCCTCTCTTGCGACCCCATCACCTCCACTCTCTATGTCTGTGAGTGTGTGTCTCTCGCTCTGTGTCCGTGAGTGTGTGTGAGTGTGAGTATGTCTGAGTGTGTCCCTCTGGGTTTCTGTGTCTGTGTACGGTGGCGGCCCTGAGAGGCAGGAAGTGGTGACTTCCTGGAGCCCCGCAGTCAGGACATTGGTGAGCAATGCTGGTGTTTGGCGGATCCCCAGGCCTTTCAAATGTAATGTGGGGTGGAAACAGACCATTCGGACCTTCGCTGGTGTTTTCCCCCCCCCCATCCCCGAGTGGCCCACCCAGTTTTTGTTAAAGAGACCTTTAAGAATTCTTTTTGCAACAATCTATGATGCATTATTATTTCGTCATGTTTAGGTTTTATCAGTAAACATATGGAGGTTGGCAGTAAAATGTACCTTTCAAATAGCACCAATCAACTCCTTGATAGTTCCTACAAAATTTGTCACATTTTCGCCCAATATTTGGCAGATATTTCCGCAATTTTCTGTTGACCCTGCCAATGACTCTGTAGAGCAGAAGGCTCTGTAGTTATCTGTGGCTAGGAAGAGTTTTTAATAGCTAATCCACCCTATTATTATTAATTAAATATGTAAAAGTTTGTGTTTTTCTTATTACATAACCTGGCTACTGGTTATTGTCATTGTTTAAGTAAGCAGTTTTGTAATTTTTGTGGCTTTGACGCAGAAGAATTTTTCTGTTGTAAATAAGTTACAACACTATGCCCAACAATTTTTTTTCTGCAGTAAGTTAAAATGATAATTCTGGTAAGTAGGGGAACTCAGTCACGTGTTGTGCCGAAGGTAAATCCCTCACTTGTTTTCAAAAGTCTAATAGACTTTAGATTTTATCTGTGAGTGTCTATTTCATGGAGTATCAACATTTTTATTTTTCTTCTTTCTTGCCTGCAGGAAGCATTACAACGAATTATCACAACACTAGCAAACAAAGATGATGAAATTCAGAATTTCATTGAAACATTGAACCATACTCTGAAAAATGTTCAGGTAATTATTCATAAAAATCGGATTTTTCACTGACTTTTTCATGTACTGTGAGTATATAGTCAGTCAGTTGGCTGATCCTTTGATTTGCCTTTGTTTCCATGTCATCGTTGTTTCCCCCCCCCCCCACCCACACCCCCCACCACCCCCCCCACCCAACCCCCCCCAACCCCCACCTGTACTATTTTCTCTTTTTCCCAGCCCCGATCGGAAAGGTTTTTCTTGGTTCTTCAATCATTAGTTACATTTGTCCTGCTCTCACGAGGAGGCTCTGGACAGTACATATGAGTTTGTTTTCAATAAATTTAGCTTCAATTATGACATTTTCAAAACAATTTATGCCAAGCTTTGTTTCAGAAATCTTATCAATTGCAGCAAAAATTGTCTCCTAAGGCACATTTCATCTGCCATTGCGTTATTCAACTTCTCCCAAAAGATCTCTTTCATGTGGCTCGATCCCCACGTCATCTCCACTATTAGTTATCCAGAGACCAGATTTTACCCACGTGAGAATTTTATTTGTCATCTCAATATGCTGTACAGAGTCCAGTTTTTTTTAAAAGGCAGAGATGTGGTGCAACACATCCTACACCATTTAAGAAATATAAAACATTTTTTTTTCATTCTAGATCTACTTTATGAAGTGCATTGTATGTGGAAATTCCTGCAAATCTATTCAATGTCAACACAGTTTTTGCAAAGTTCATATTTTGCATCAACAATTCCAATGAACTGAAATAATTCTCAGTTATGTAAATGAATGGCTGCTGAAATGGCTAAGCAACTGAATATTAATGGATTCCTTAATGCATACCTTTAGTGTCCAACAAACTGAGTTTCAGTTGGAATGTCTGTGTCATGCAGGTTATATCAGTACAATTAGATGGATTTCACGTGACATTTCTGTTGTGTTGGCTTTTATATAATTCTAGAACAAAAATGGGATTTTGGTACCAATTGTTAAAATACGTTATAATGTACTAAGTAATCACTAAATAAGAATTTAGATGGTGTTTTTCTTTATGGCAGGCCAATTCTATTCAGGTGATGGTAGACCTAGAGGAAGAATTCAATACAATCCAGGCTACCGTGGATGAAATGAAGGAAAGCATGATGAATAAGATTAAACAAGAGCAAGGATACAAGACACAAGAACTCCAGGTACTCTCAGCATATGAGAGCTGTTTGCTTTTATTGCACCATGTAGATTGTGGGATTATCTTAAAGTGTTTTCAATGCACATTGACAGAAAATTATATCTGTGCTCGGGGTAGGGGGCATAAGAAGAGAGACTCACTTTACAGCATATTCTGTGAAGCGCTTTGAGACATCTCAACAGTGTGATAAGGGGCTATATCAAATGCAAGAATTGATATAGATGTCTGAGCGTCTCAATAGATTAAATTTTGTATGGAAAACATATTCTGCAGTTTTTGATTATTTCTATGAAAATATACAGCACAGAAGATACATCTCGAAGCCCTCCTTTTCAACCGAGCCTTCAGCCACCCTCCTGCCCTCCACCCTCCCTGATCCCAACCCCCAACTCGGGTTAAAATCCCTGACTATCCTGCCTTGGGACATCCTCACGACGTGAAAGGCACTTTACAAATGTAATTTGTGTTGTACTTGCTGTCTCCTGTTCATGCTCTCTTTCAAACCCATTTGAAGCCCCTCAGGGTTTTAGCATCTACAGAGCGATATGAAGCCTAATTCATAACATAGCTTCTAATTGTATTGGCTGGTGCTTGTGGAAATTTTTGTGCTTAGAATTTTTATATTCTTTTAAAACAATGCATTAAATTGCTGCCTTGCAGCTTGCTGTTCAATAACATTAAAAATGGTCTTTCATCAAATCTGAGTGGTACTTAAATTAATATTGCTATAGTATGGATTGATGTACAGATCCTTATTACAGTGGGATTGATCATGGTGGTACCCTTTAAGAAGGTCTTTGTAATGGGGTGGCATTGTAATTGGCTTTCAGGTCATGCTGCTCATCCCTAATTTTTGTTACAGTTGCACGTCCCAAAAGTTGGGAAAGTTGCACCAATTAACAGCTAGATTAAGTGGTTAAAGAACTTTTTTGTAGAAGTGGCCAGTAAGATGCACCAGCCAAATTGAAATGAGGGCCTCTTGATCGATGAAAACACTTTTGGGTGTTCTTGTTTTCATTATCCTGAGTTGCTCATTACCAAAGGAGTAGCTCAGAATGAGTAAAAACCTCATATGCACAACAACTTAATGCACTGCTCAATCAATTAACTGGCAACACATGTTTAAAAATGCAAGAGATTGCATCACTGCTGGAAAACAAATTCAACAGTGTAAGCATTGTTTCCATCCCAAGAGAATTTGTGTAATATATTGACCAGGTTATACAGACCTTCTGTTATAAGACCTTGACTAATTTTAAATGAGACTTTGGATATAATTTCTAATAAAATTCTATTGAAGAAATTTCATAAACTATAGATGAGCAATAATTTTTTGAAACGTAGTACTGGGAGGCACTTCCTCTGCAATTATCATTTGTATCTGTCTTATTACAGTACCTTTGTACTTGATGTGAATTCTTTTATAGCTCATGAAGTTTAACTGTGACAAAAGTAAATATTCTTCAACCTAAACCTATTTGCTTAGTGTTCGATGTATTTCGAATGCCTCCAATGTTTTTGATCTTAAATTGCCTTTAAGTAGAGCAGTGTTCAGTTCGACTAGAATCAAGGTTTCCACTTAATGAACTAAATGTATAAATTTCCACTTAATGAATTTAATGTATAAATCTAGGACTCATCTTCTTCATTTCAAGTTTTTTGTATTTTTTCAGCATGTTTACCCTGTACCTCTGATGTTCAGAAGAGTAGTACAAAGCTAATCATGCAATAATGGCATGCATTATTTACTGCTGATTGGATTGTTATACTTTATTTGAAGCTTTTTGGCAGCCATAACTAACATTTAATTCCATAAATAAGTACCTCTGTATTAAATTGGTTTCAACTTTTTCATAAATTTCCATGTTTATTTGATGCATGCCATATGCTACCTTTATTTGCTGTGAATAATGTTATCATAATTTAGATTTTGTTAATGTAATTAATAGATGTTATAACCTGATATAATTACCCCTAATTTTCACACAGATTAAGGAATTAAAACATTTTGAAGTAGACTTGTCACTTTACTACTTATGATTAATTGAAGATTCATTGAATTTCTGTAAACTGTAGATCATTAAAATAATCTGTTTTCTATAGATGAAATTAGGCCAATTTTGAACTTTCACTCATAAGGCAGTTTAATTATATCAACACCCATTTTTCTTAATGTTAAAGGACTGAATTTGTTGCTCAAAATTGACTTTTTTTCACAAACATGAATTTTAAATGAGTCTGAATCTGTGAACAGTGCCCTACAGGCAAGAAGAAGCTGTCACTAATTGAGCGTGTTTGGTTGATGTATCTATCTTTTGTTCTCACCAGAACCAGTTGACCATGTGCACAAATGCATTAGAAAGTTCAGAGGAGTTACTGGATTATGCAAATCGGACTCTAGATACAGATGACCCTGAATCTTTCGGAAAGGTAGAGGCTTAACTTTGTGTGGATGTGGAAACGCAGTAGATATATACAAAGTGTTACTTGGAAGAGAACGGGGTTTGAATGTTTGAAGACTGTTCAAAAAAAATCTAGCCTATTTACTGTTGCCGAAACTAATGCTTCTTAATTTCCATCATTCTCCTTAAGTTGCTTTGTTTGGCAGTACTGTATTGCATATTTTGTGCTGATCACCTGGATATTCAGGTTGTCACGAGACCCACCATGATTAAATAACCTCCAGCAGATTTTACCTGCCATTGCTTGCATTAACTTAATACTTTTGATAACTGTTTAAAATGTCTTCATGTCATGTGCTAACCTTTTCTGCTTTGCAGCTTCTAGTGGATGTCTATTTTTGGTATATCTCTGCTTTCCTTTTAACAAGTCTCCAACAAGCAAAAAACCTTCAGGTCACTGATGTTTAAAACTGAGAAGAACTTTTTGGTGTACAATGGTGTTAATGATGTTGCTGGCACAAATTTAACGGGTTTCCATTGTGAGTGTAAACGCAATATTTGTCCCACTGTGCAAGTTATTTTAAATCTGCATAAATCCTCGCCTACATAAACATGTTCAAATTGGTGCTGGAGGAAAATTGCTCTACAGAAAGAAGGAACTTGTATTTCTCTATCATCTTAACAACTTACCGTTTTGAAATGCCTCAAAAGTGTTTTACTATCAGTTTAGTTAATGTATTTTTGCAGGAAAACATGGCAGCCAGGTCCCACAGGCACCCATGAGGTGAATGGCCATTTAATTTGGTGAATTGTTGCCCAGGACAATGGGAAAAAAATCCTTTTGTTGAATTGTCTTTGGGGTTTTAATGCCCATTTGAAGAGTAGGCAGGCAGCTATTGGTTTAACGTCTCATCCTAAGAACTGTACCTTGACAATGCAGACTAGGAGCATATGGAGCTTGATCCCAGAATCTTCTGATCCAGATTATGTATAAATTTGAAAAGAAAAACTGGGGATGGAGAAAGTGAATTGTTTGGTTGAAAGAAAAAAATGGGAAATAGAATTCAAATGGTAGTCAATATTAATTTTAATGAAAGACCCCTGTTTTGGAGCAAAGCATTTTGAAGGAAATAAATGTTTATTCGCATGATAGGAAAGCATTCAAGAATGTGCTACACACACATTACTTGTGGCAAATATTAAGATCCGTGGAATGGATGGAAAGGCAGCTGAGTGCACAGAGTAATAGTTGAACAGTTGAAAGAGAGTGGGAACCAACAACAACAACAAGATTACATTTGTATAGCGCTTTTCACGTCGGGACAGCATTTCAGACCCGAGCTGGGGTCAGGGGGGAGAAGGGAGGGGAGGGGAAGGGGGTGACCGATGGCATAGTCGAGGAGGAGGGTTTTGAGGTGGGACTTGAAGGAGGCTAAGGAGGGGGCGAGGCGGAGTGATTAGGGGATGGAGTTCCAGAGGTTGGGGGCAGAGTGGCTGAAGGCTCTCCTGCCAATGGTGGGGCAGTTGGGTCGGGGGACGTGGACCAGGCCAGAGCCGGCTGAGCGGGGGGAGTGGGCGGGCTGGTAGGGTGGTTTTCCCAATTGGCAGAGTGGTAGTAGCTAATGGCGTTCCTTAGGGATTCGTGTTGGGATGTTTCTTGTACCTATATACATCAATGATCTGGATGAGGAGCTGATGGAATCATATATGAATTTGTGGATGATTCTAAATTAGAAGAGATTAACAGTGAGGAAGAGTTCAGAGATATTGGACAGGTTAGATTAGTGGGCAGATTTATGGAAAATGGAATTCATTATATTTAAAAAAAAGCAGAAGTACTGGTATTTTGGAAGAAAGTTTCACCCTGGATGATAAAATTCTTAATGGATTAATGGAAATGGATTGTAACAGAAGCAGTATGTAAAGAATTCAGGAATCTAATGATTGCTGTGTCCTCCCAGGTCCTGCTGCCAAGCCTGGCTGGCTGATTTGTCATCAGTAGTGCCTTGGAGTACTTGTCTGGCTCAGAAATTGTACCACTGAGACTGTCACAAAGGATGATCTCGACTCCGATTCTTCTTTGCCAAGTGCATCAGATGGAGCTACCTCAACAACCACAAATTACAATTGTGTAGCACCTTTCATGTCAGGAGGACGTCCCAAAGTGCTGCACGTCCCAAAGGGTACCTCAGTCCCAAGGAGACCTTTTACCCCTCTCTTGTCTCTGCAGCTCCCTCCCCACCTCTCCCAGGAGGGTAGTCAATAGTTAGTTTAAAAATAACATATCTGTTAACATTTCAAGTATGTTTTGCTTCATGCAAAACCACAAAAAACATGTAGAAACAAAACAAATCTGTTATCTGCCCCTTTCAGAAACTTGTGCCATGCACATAACGTTTTCTACTGGCACATGACCCTCTTCCATTCAGCTGTACGTAAACTAGGACAAAGCTCACTTTCTCCAGTTTCAGCAGCAGTATTCGCTGTTGGTCAGCATGATGGAAAGTTGTAACACAACCATATCAGAGATTTTTGTCAATATTTTAACTATTTGCTATAATCTGTCATTGTGAGAATTCTTCTAAAACTTTTTTTTTTGAACCTGCTGGAGTTTTTTTCAATGCAGGTTTGCCTTGGTTTGGTTCTTGTATAGGGTTCCTGTGACAACCAAAGATTTCCGCGCAAGCAATGAAGAGGTACATGTGCATCAGCCTGGCTTTGAACCCTGAGTCAGAAGGTTGTAGGTCCAAGCCTCACGTCGGAACTTTGGAGTCACAACCTACGCTGACACTCTTAATGCAGTGCTGGGAGAGCCGTCCTAAGCAGGAGCATTAAACTGAGGACTTGTCTGTTCGTTCATTCAAGATCCCATGGCACTGTTTCAAAAGGAAAGGGAGTTGGTGTCTTGGCTATCAATTCCCCCAAAATAAGATTGGTTATTCACTTTGTGGTTGTGCACAAATTGGTTGCCATATTTCCACACAAAATTTAACTTATAATGAATTCTGTGAAGTGCTTTGAGGTGTCATCCTGAGCTGAAAGGAGCATATTGTATATTGTAAGCTAGGATCATTACATTTATACAAAGCTCTAGGGATTCAGTGACCCCTATAAAGGTATAAATCTATAGCTCAAACCTATCCAATCATTTGAAGAATGACAGAAGACTTAGTTGAAATTCTGCAACAGTAAGAATGGAGGATGTTCTGGATAGATGAGGAAAGTGACAAATGGAGTTCTGCAAGGATCTATAATGGAATAATTGCTTATTTTGGACTCTTATAATAATGGAGAATATTTATTGGAATATTATTTTGCTAATGATATATTGACACCTAGTTGAATTTAAGATGCATAAATTGCATTGCTGGTGGAAGTTCTCCCACCAATTTTCCCAGTCGGGACAATATAACCAAACTATTTAGTTCTTCTCCAGGTTTAAAACAAAGGACACAGGCTTAAAATTATATATCTCAAGTGGAATTAGAAGACATTAGGATCTTTTATACTTCATTTGTATACATGTACGGAGGAAATTAGACGTGCCCTTGATTAAATTATTAACGAATGAGAGAGAATGGTTAATTATGTAATTAGGCGTATGTAAGTCACTCTTTACAAGTGTTTTTACACATGATTTACAAAACTCAGAATACACGTTGATACGATTCAAATTTTTTCATTGTCCTGGATAACTTGCCAATAAAATTATTCTGTTCTCATGATGAATTTAACTACGCATAAAGATCTAGAAGAATGGCGAAACCTTGGGCAAGGGCGAAACCTTGGGCAAGTTTCCTTACTCCACACGCCTAATAATAATCCCTCCAAAAACAATAATAAAAAATTGGTCATTTTCAATCTACGACTGTTTGTAGGACACTGCTGTGCGCAATTGGCTGCCGCGTTTGCTCACAAATATACAGTCAATTCACTATACAGTATATTCTGTGAAGCGCTTTGGGACGTCTAGAAGATGTGAAAAGCGCTGTATCAAATGCAAGGATTATTATTATAATGGATTCACAGCCTATGTCAGAAGTTTTTTGAGTAGTACCTTTAGCAATACCTCATTTTCTCTTTCACAAAGAGTGCGTGTGTGTAAAAAAAATTGGGAGAAGTCCACAGATTTCCTGTTCAGATTAAAGGACATAGAATCATAGAACCTTACAGCACAGAAGGAGGGCATTCGGCCCGTTGTGCCTCTGCTGGCTCTTTGAAAGAGCTACCCAACTAGTTCTACAGTCATTGCACTGAATTTTTTGTAGCCCTGAAGCCCCTTTTTGATGCTAAGGAAAACTAGCAGTAGGTCCATTCAGCCCTAATTTATCATGGCCCTTGACAACTTGAACGTTTATTAAAGCTTTAACTCTGGAGTAGGAAATGTTTAACCTGCCATGGATGTAAATAAATCATTTTCATTCTGATGTTTTGTGGATACAGTAAACTTGAAAATGCTATAAATGTAATTTAGTCACTGCTATAAGTGTACAATACATTTCTGCATTCTGTCTCATTTAAAATATTATTGCACTGAAGTTGAGGTGAAAAAGCAAACGTTAAATAGTTTTTAAATGCATTTTCAGTCTGCACATTCAGTTTTCAATACAAATTGATGCTGAATTTGGTTTTCCCAATATAATTGAAACTGGATAATTGTGTAAACGTGGATTTTCAGGTCTATTTATTACCTGTATGTAGAGTCTAAATGTCTTAATTGGCATTTAGTCAGACCTAGTTAGACCCTGTATACTGCTTCTCCATGTAATGCAGGCAGACTCTGGACCTACAATATACGAAGTACAGTAGTGTGTCAGCCCGACTTAGTTGGTCGCATGCTCACATATGGGCTATGGATTCAAGCCCCAGGTCGGGACTTGAACTCGCGTTAGTCTAAGCTGACTGCGGTGGTGGGTCTGTTGCAATGTCAGGGGTGCCATCTTTCAAATGAGATGTTAAACTGAACCCCATCTGCCTGTACAGGTGGATGTTAAAGATCCTATGGCACTACTTGAACATTGAAGGGAGTTCCTTCTGGAGTTTTGGCCAACAATCCCTCAAATAAAATTGGTCATTCACTTCATAGTTGTTTGGGGGCATCGCTTTGCACAATTGCTTTGCGTGTTTCCCTACAAATACACAGTCATTTCCATGTACAGTATATCCTGTAAAATCCTCCCGATGTGCAAGGCACTATATCAAATGCAAGGATTATTTATTTATTATGACACTTGGTCGCCGAATAACCCACAAGCACAGAAGGCCTTCCAGGTTCAGTGACGTCCCTACTGACCAGACGGCCTTCTACGCACGTATGTGACCACATCGACAGCCTGATGATGAAGAACCGCTGACCAGCAGCCAAACTATAAATGTGATTCCTTATAACGCAGGGTCTTATAACATGGTGGTTTGGGTCCATAAAATAACAGGCTACAATATTTTAAAATTGCAGATATTCACGTGGCAGTATTGTACATGTTTTAATGAGCAGGCACTGTAATTGCCATGCTTCCAAATTGGTAACAGTTGTTAGAAATAAAGGGCAATCAATCATTTTATAATGCAGTGGGTTAGAGCTCCATGTAGTCCATTGTCTAAAGAGCTTCGAGGTGTTCATCCTATGTGAAGGTGCAAGTATGTTTGTTAATATTTTTGACTTGCTGGTCAAACTATTTAAGCAAATCGTAATGTACAAATGTCTTGGTTTCCTTCTAGAACAAATTTTGCTGTTTTTTCTTGTACTTTCATCTGTTGCATGTCGAGCATTGCATGGTTGGAACTAACATCCTTTTCCTCTTCCTATTTCATTCAAGGCTGCAAAACAGATCAAGGATAGGTAAAAGAACGCTTTTATCTTTGGCAATTGTTTAATAATGCACACATATACTGTAATTATTAAATGCAATCGAAAGTGGTGTGAAAATATGGGGAGGGTGATTTTAATTTGCAGCAGAGAAAAGAGTTTCCAAGTGTTTCTCTTATGAACCAGAAAGCACGCACTCGTGTGAATGCGATTAGTCTCTGTTTGGTTTGCTACATTTATGTGTTCCATCTAGATCCTGAGATGATCTGGTGCTGTCTACAGCAAAGGTATTATCAATACCATTCTTTAACGACCAGTCTATCTCATGATGGACATTACAGTAGCAGAGCACTTCAATGGATTGGACAAGGTAGAAGAGGAAAGCTACCAGAACCATCCATGTCTTAGAGAAGTGGCAGTTCAGAGATTTGCAGAGGCAGGTTCAAAGCAACACGCAGAATTGACCCTGTTCACTGCGGGTAATGACGCGCAAGAATCGATTTGACGTGCCACTAATATTTCTGCACTGGTTTAATACCCATGTTTTGTTTGAGTAAGAACTAGGTTGAATTCGGTAATATGCATTTCTGATAACTTGCCAATATTCTTGTTAATTTTATTTTGATAATCACAGGGTCACAATGGCTCCAGCATTTCGACTGTGTTTAAAGCTAAAGATCAGCGACAACATGACTCATTTAATGGTTGACTTCTCCCAGGAGAAGGAGATGCTCAAGTCACTAAAATTTTTACCAGGTAAAATTTCATGATTTTTCACTTGCCTGGGTTTGACTTGAATAGTACCGTTAACAATGCGAAAAATGTTACCGTTTCCATTTATGCTGAGAAACTGCAATTCTGTCTCTTACAGAAGTTACAAAATTGGGGTTAACTTACTCTCTCCCATTTTCCTCTCGTAACCAGATTTGCTTTTGTAATGCATCGCTTCAACAATCAGTGTCTGAACAATTTCTGCTTCATCGCTTGCTCAGAATTCATGCACATAGTTCAGTTTATTTCTGTGCAATAGAAGCACTTTTAGGAATTTATCAGTCTGACTGCAACAAAGTTAAGAATATTAGCTGTAAAGTTTTAAAAGTCTCTTGGCAACTGTTGTCCATTCCTACTATGCAGCTAAGTTTGCGTCAAGTATGATGTACCGAAAAAGCTGCAAATACTGACATCACGTCATAATTGTATGAGATATTAAACCAAAACTTGGCCTTAAGATCATTGTTTTAAACTCCATTCCCGAAGGTTGGAAAAATCTTAAATTCAGTCTTAATTTGGAAATGAGTTTTCTGGAAACTGGTTTTCAATAAGTCTTTAATTCACAATAAGCTCCTGAGTAGAATGTGACTATCTTCTCTCAAAAGAGGCAGGTTCAAAGCAACACGCAGAATTGACCCTGTTCACTGCGGGTAATGATACTGTATCAATACTGTATCAAGAACCGTGTGGAGTGATGGATTAAACTTATGCTCTTTTGTTCTAAATATAGAAAGTAATGTGTGTGTGTTGTTCGTTCTGCAGCTTAGTGGTTAGAGCACTCACCTCACAAGCGAGAGGACCTGGGTTCGATTCCCGACAGGGCGAAATGTTGGGCAAGTTTTCTTACTCCGCACGCCTCTGTTTATCCAGCAGTAACTGGGAACCCAGTTGATAGTTGATTGTCAGATCGCTTTTCCGGGGGTAATAATTTGTTAAAAAAAAAAAATTTGATCACTCGATTCACGACTGTTTGTGGGACGATGCTGTACGCAGTTGGCTGCCACGTTTCCCCCTCAAAATATACAGTCATTTCACTTTATAGTATATTCTGTGAAGCGCTTTGAGACGTCTCGAAGACATGATAAGGCGCTATATCAAATGCAAGGATTATTATTATTCTAAAATCTGACACTACATTATTTTTGTTAATGGTACAAATACTATAGTATAAAATGCTAGGTTTTTTTAATAGTTGATTTCCCCCGGTGATTGTGTTGTTGAAATCTGTAGAGTGTCCATATATAAAGGTCAATATTGGTAGTTTGCTCGAAGCAAATAATTTGAGTCCTCACTGTTTAGTATTCTATCTTTGGAAGACAAGTGTCGTGTAACATTAAATCTTCTTGCGGATTCCATTTACTGAAGTACAGAAGTGTGAGAGGCTTTACGCCCCTTAGTGGATATGCTGCAAGTATTTTAGACAGATTCCAATATTTTATAGCATTGTTACCAAAGCAGAACAGAAATAATCCCATTATTGCATTATTACAAGAAAAATATTTTGTTCATCAAATGCTCTGACCTACTATTTCAGTAATTAAAGAATATTTAGGCAAAGGGTATATGAAGACAATGTTATGCTCTAAATTGCATTCTGTTTAATGTCTGTCTGCCTGACATTTTTTTTCCGGTGAATCTGTCTTTAGCGCACTCTGCTCTGTTAAATAAACATATTTTTATAATAGCTTAATACACAAAATTAATTGCATTAACTGAAAATTATTTTAGCGTTTCAAAAGTATACTTTTGAAAACGAAAAATATTTGCAATGAGCTAAGCTGTTCTCAGTAGCTTAATGTAGCACTAACTTTTAAGATGTAAATATAGGTACAGACAGGTGAGCTGTAGTTTGTGGTGTTCAAAGTATGTCGCATTCAAGAAGCACTAAGTATGATTATCAGTATGAGGTTTGAGTGAGCAGCAGGACTGCTTTCAAATGGTAAAGGAGCTTATTTAGAATCCGATTGCAGATGACCACCTGTCTGTCTGGACATCACAATGTCTTAATTGGCCGTTTGCTTTTCTGGGGCACATTTGCTTGAACAATATTTTTGAACACAATGAAATGTTGAACTCAATAATTTGTCATAACAAAGGGGCAAACGGTCACTGGGACCAGGGATTCTTCCCACTCAGCTCCTGTTAACCCTGCAAGTCAAAGCCCTAACGTGTAGGATGTTCCTGACTGAACGAGTACTAGGAAGCTTGTCAGGCAGTGCTTTCAATGGTGAACTATACAGTTTTAGTTGGTTGAACCCCAGCAATACCCAAACACACCCTTTGGGGCCTCCAAGCTTTCCCTCTTGTCAACCCGCACCTAATTCTCTCTGGAATTAGGTAACCAAGGTGTTTCCCTCTTAGGAGAGAGTGCGCACAGAGTAGTTTCCATGTGTAGGTAGCATCAAATTTGTGGAACTCTGGTTCGGATACTCTTAAGGTGATGGTTTTCCGCCTGTGTCAGACAAACAGCTGACCAAAACGAGACCACACACCATCGTGGAATGAAATGCTGTCGGTGACACTAATATTGTACCATGGCTAGGTTCAGATACCTATTGAACCGATTCTCTGTTAAGTAATTTATTATTTTTAGGTGACATTTGTACTTTGTGGTAATATTTTGATTCCAAACCCTAGGATAAACAAACTGACGATTTCCTGTAGCTGTGGCTTTGCTTCCATCACTGCCAGATTTCAATTCAACTGTAGTTTGTACTACAAATATATTCAGACATCGGATTTATCTTGAGAGCATTTTGGTTTCCAGTGCAGTGAGTTAGCTGAGGAAAAATGAAGTTCCGTGGTTGGCTTCCCAAATATTTCCCCTTCTGTTCTGAAGGGAATGATTAGTTAAAGACTAGTTCCACTGGTTGTTTCTTGGTACCTCATCCACGTGGGCATGTCGGGGCGGTAGGAGCGAATAGGATGTCACAGTTGAGGCTGCAACTGCCTCAGTGCTGTCGCTAAAAATCTTCTTCCCATCAAGAATCACTGGTTAGGATTGGGGACCCTACCTTTTCTAGTCTAAGGAATAGGTTAGTTATCCACTCACTGTTACTGTGGTGAGGTAACTCAGTAAATCGAGCATCAAACCTGGTATCAATGATTCAGTGATGCACAAATAATTGTTATTGATCACTCTTTCTGAGCTATATTTCACTAGTTGTAAAATGCTTAATTGCCCACAGCATCCAAAATGTGATCCTATTGACAAAAAAGCATTCAACTAATAGGCCTTCCCAAACTCAATAAACAGTTACTACTAATGTGTCCTGTATTTCATTGTTGGTAAATAATTACGTACATCATTTAGAGAAGCTAAAATTGTGTTTTATAAATAATGTTTTTTGTGCTTATAAATACTATTGCGCTTATAAATAACGTACTTTGTTTTAACCGTTTTGTTTAATGATTCATCGTAATGAATGAATACTATTCAGAGAGTTATTTTGAATTGGAAATCGGCATATGTTTACCTGTTGCCTCAAGTTAATAATAATTGGGTTCAACTAACTTGATTATACATCATTTTGTATACTTGGCTTTTTAAAAAAGATTCAATTACCTTATATTAAAATCATGAGAGTCCCTATTAATTTGTTGAAACAAACTGCATTTATAGTTAAGATACAATACTCTAAACTTCAATAATTGAATGTTTTTCTCTCTACAGTTCCACGGGCTCCTGAGATCGATCCAGCAGAATGTCTGGTTGCCGATAACTGTGCTACTATAAGTTGGAGAATGCCAGGCGAAGATGATAAGATTGATCATTACATACTAGAGTACAGGAAAACAAACTTTGAAGGACCTCCTCGGATAAAAGAGGAACGAAACTGGGAAGCAGTTGATAGCATCAAAAAGACCGAATATATGTTATCAGGTTATGTTTAGATATTGAGGGTTGAACAACGTGTTTGTGTAAATGATGGCCAAAGTCATTTTGAATCATAGAGCCATAGAAATTTACAGCAGGGAAGGCCATAAGGGTCCGTCATATGTCTACTGCTCTTTTGAGAGCATTCATTTCAATTCAAAATACTTAGCTGCCCAATAATTGTTTCACAAGATAATAGGATGTGATTTGGCAAAATAGTACTGAGTGAGAATGATGTGCGTGGATGATCCTATTAAGAAAATGATGACCTTAACTGCTTCTTTAGGTAGGAAATCATAGCCCAGTGAAGTTAACGCTGTATATTTTGATAAACCAGTGAGATTAAATGTTTTATAAGTAGATGCAATAGAACCAATTTTGGATAGATAGGTACATTTTAAAGTCAATTTTTACTGATTTTCTTTGCTATAAAGTGGGGAGCAGGCGTATAGGGAGGGAATAGCAATATAGGAAGGGAGGGAGAGTGCAGCAATGTGGGGAGGGAGAGTGCAGGAATGCAGTATAAGGAGGGAGGGAGAGTGTGGCAGTATTGGGAAGTAATGCCACTCAAAACTACACTCAATTAAATTGACGAACACTATAAATTTGAGCAATGCATTGACCAAAAAGTGACCAGAAACTAGTTAAACAAAACAGATAAACCAGTGTCTGTATTGCAGGTAATTTTGGTATGTTTACATGCGTACTTGGTGATATTACTAAAATTAGTTGCTCATCTGTGGATGCGTGGCAAGAAGTTAATATCAATAAAGATGAACAAGAGATGTTGTGAAGTGATTTCTGTAATGTCATGTTAATTGTTCGTTTGTTTTGTTTTCCAGTTTTGACATTTGAATCAAAGTACATGAACTTTCGGGTCAGAGCTTGTAACAAGGCTGTGGCGGGGGATTACTCTGAACCGATCACCTTGGAGACAAAAGGTAATATCATGCAATATTTCAAATTTATTTCCAGGCGGTAAATTGTGGGATTGCAGTACTTTACATTGCATGGTTTTGCTAAAGGAGAATGCACTATTGGGATCTGTTTCTAGTTGGACAAGTTAAAACCTTGTGTGTCAGCCTGGCTCAGTTGGTAGCACTCTCGTTTGAGTCAAAGGTTGTAGGTTCAAGCACCAGATCGTGACTCGGAACTCACATAGCCTAAGTTGATATTCCAATACATTGCAAAGGGTGTGCCGGGAATCAAGCCCAAGTCTCTTGTTTGCGAGGCGATTGCTCTAACCACTGAGCTACAGGACTCCGCGTTTTATTAAAATCATTGTAAAGTGTTCAACATTAGGAGATTCAACTGATTAATTTTAAAACGGGCATTTTACTTGTTAATGTACTTCATTGTTGCATGATCAAGTTACAATAATGCTGATTTATTAACAGGTTTTAACTTTGCCTTTGATGGTACAACTTCACATCAGAACCTCAAAGTTGAAGATTTTAGTGTTGAATGGGATTCTTCAGGAGGCAAGGGACAGGAAAGCAAAGTTAAAGGGAAAGAGAACAAGGGCAGGTAAGAATCTTTCGGTTTCGCCTTTTTCATTTGGGGTAGATCTCCTACAGCACATCTGTTCCGGTTGTTCTTTGAGACCACAACTGGTGAATTAGGGCATTATTTTACTATACTGTAAAGTATTGTATAGCGCCTTGGGACTTCCTCCCGACGTGAAAGGCGCTATACAAATGTAATCTTGTTGTTATTATAGAAAGGGTATTGGCCAACAACTGCTGTGTTGGATATGAGAGCTGTTTAAATCCAAAAGCTCCTTTATCAATCAGTAAGTTTGTTTGACTAATTCTGTTACGGAATGCTCATTATCGTCAGAATTGATTTTGTCCTAAAATTTGGGTAATTATGCAAGTTCGTGAATATCGAATATGAAGCATTTGTCGGCTTCCTTTCTGATTTCTGTCCATATCTAAAAGGAACATCGATAGTGCACAATCTGAGACCAGGTTATATTATGGAACCGTTTTCATTTGAGCTGTGAACATACAGCAAGATATATTTCAATCAGCAAATAGTTAGGATTGCAATGAAACACCGGTACTTGGTTCTTCTTTGGTGCCTATTATGGAGCACGTGAACCTGAAGCTGCGAAGTTACAGTTGTATGTAGATTGTCTTGTACAAACAAACTGTACAAATGAAAGTCCAGTCCTCTCTTCGAATTGTACCATACTGTTCTAGTTATAAAGCGACTCCCACTATGCTATTACTATGTCATTTTGGTTAAATTGTCCAAATCTGTCAACGTAATTGCTAATCTACTTATTTTCATCATCTCACAGTGGCCAGGTTTCCTTGGTGAAGAACAAATCGAGGTGACATATCTGCTAGCTTTGTAGTTTGAGCTTAACTAGCTGTAGCAAACTACAAATAACCATAGTATAGATAACTATGATGGTACTACCAACCTAAGGATCTACCAACTTATCTCAGTTCTTTACTGTTTTTTTTTCAGTTTGATGGTTCTACCATTCTAGCATGCAGAGAGTGAGTAGATAAATTCTTGAATAAATAATTCTATCATTCCTTCGCCCCACCAAAAAACTAAAGTTGTAATTTATTAATGGAATCACTCAATCTTCTTAAAATGAGCCCAAATAATTGGAATATCTCTACCCATGTATGAAACATGGACCTATTTATTTCCATGTAATCTGCAGTTCATTTTCCTCTCACATTCAAGGCTTGAGTATCCAACAAACTGAAAAAAAAATCTGGAACTGGAAATTGATTTTCAAAATTGAAATCAAAGTATATTGTCAGCAAACTTAATATTGAGTTAATGAACAGTCTCTTGCACAGGTGAGCAAGTTCTTTATAAGATCCACAAAAAAATTGTAACTTGAGAAAAAGGATAAAATCATTGCATTCTTGGGCAATGATCGATCCAATTGAAGATTCTTTTCACACAATCTTATCACCACATTTTCTTCACCAGTTAATTATACGGCAGCTTCCAGCAATTTCAGACGTTTGCTTGTGGCTAACAGAACCACATTTTAGTTGATTATGAAATAACCCCTTACGAATGCTGAATCACAGGGTTATTGTGAAATCTTTACTAATGTAAACTATTAGTACAGGGTAGTTGTGAAATCTAAGTTCCAATCACAAGTATCATTTGCAGTGTCTTTAACGTTGACATTTAAAGCACCTGATTAATGATGACCTGTATTTAATAACTTCCAGCATTCAAATTTGCACCAATCAATAGATTATATTCTTAAGAAGTCTTACACATTGAACCAAATTGTTCGATTAATTTTTCTTGGTCTGCATGTTCTAAACCTTAAATTTAATATATTTTAAAATATTTTGTCAAATTCTTAAATTCAGTCTTATTTTGGAAACTAGTTTTCTGTGTTAGTGTTTTTTTTAACAGAAGAAAACTTTTTCGTGTTACTTTTTTTTAATAATCGTTGAAAAGTTCAGAATGAATTTTTTTTAAAAATCAAAATTTCTGAATGTTAAATATTAAGGTGATTGTCAGGTCCATAGCCTTGGATTTGATATAGTGCCTTTCATGCCAGGAGCATAACTCAAATCACGCTGGGAAGATGTCTCAAAATGCCCGTTGCCTGCATGCCCATAGGAGAACATTTACAGCCATAAAGTAAATGTGCACTGAATAGACTGATTGTTAGAAATTCACATTGCCCTATATAGGAGCAAATTGTGAATGCACGTGTGCACATTGTATGCCTGGAGAAATTTTTAGTTGTTTGAATAGTTGCTACCATACGTAGTAATAATATCTTAGCATTTCTTTGAGAGCTACTTATTCGAAAGGATATAATTTGTATGGCTTGAGAATTGCACTGCATACTTTTTTCTTGGGTAGATGTGCAGTAAGAACAGTTAATCAGAGACGAATGAACCTTGGAGCCTTAAAAGAAAATCATATATGTGGAACCAGGTTGCATTGTTTTGTTTACTTGAATAGGCTTGCAATAACTTGGGCACGATAGTGTTTTTAAAAAATCAGATGCTAATCTCAGTTTTCCTCAATGTAGTTGTTGGGGGCATTTTGGATGAGGTAAGTGAAAATTACAGATGGGCCTTTGCAATGGCCTTTGAGCTTTCAAAATGTATATGTTTATACATCAGTCAATCTAAAGCAAAATATAAGATGAAGCAAAATCGCTGGAAATGTCAGATTTTCACTCCAATATAACTTCAATATAACTCGACAAGAATGTGAAACCATAAACAAATATTTAGGAGAAGGATAGTTTAAGTACAATACAATACATATTATATTTATATAGCGCCTTTGATGTCGGCAGGACGTCCCAAGGCACTGGACAGTCAGGGGATGTCCTCCCGTGAGTAACTTGCTGTTGATTTAATTACTTAACACAAGACTACTTTTTATTTTCAAGAAATTAATTTTGGACAGACATTGTATTGCAGACCTCAACTAAAATTGCACCGTTCCAAATCTAGCCTTTAAGGTGATCAATGCAAACCGTTTCCGATGCTGCATTTCCCTGTGTAAAATCCTTAGGCTGGTAACGTTTCATGCTTTAGGGAAGGTACAATCTCCCTGGCTCACATGGCCCTGGAATTACTGTGAAGCTAAAATGATTACAGTAATAAAAATACTGAAAAAAGGCTACAGTGTGTGTTACCGTAATATTAAACCTAAACAATTACAATGAATGGTAAAGATTACATTTTAAACCTCTAACTGTGCCTTACCCTTTGGTCCCTTTCGGTACTCTTGTTTTTTTTAAAAAACTAAGATAATTTATGCTTTTATTTCTTACAAGAATTAAGTTTAGCATATTCCTACACAAGGTTTTTTCTACGTCTCATTGTTCCTTTTGAAGGGAAGAGCATTTTTTTTTCCAATGAGGCTTTAAAACAGCTTTAATAGCTGCACGATAAAGTCAAAAGGCCAAACTATCCAGTCAAGTCCTTGAAACTCAACCAGTGCTGGCAGTGCTCAAAAGTATAAAATTTAATCAAAGAGTGGGAAAAACTGCATTGAGGCTGGAGAGATTAATAATAATCCTTGTACTGTATTTGATATGGAGTTAATGCCATAATATGTTGACTATGTTCAACAGGTTTTATAAAGTAAATAAGCTCTGGAGATGAATGGCGTCTAATTGATTATTTTATAAAACTACGCCTCATTTTTTTTTTAAAAAAGTTTTTCCTTTCTAAATTCTCTATAAATGACTGACTGCATGACCAGAGATATGGTTTCTGGAGTATCAGAGCTCTTATCTTATTTAAACCCTTTGCCTTTTGTTTAAGCAGAATGGTGAGTTTGTGATACTTGCATCAAAGCATGTGAAGTGTTTTAGCAAAATTGAATGTGTTGTTCCAAGTGTTATTTTTCCCGTTTCAAATGAATTAGCATTTCATTTTGCTAGTGGATGGCTTACGCCTTCCATAGCTATAGGGTTTGTAGGTGTAAATGCCATTGTAAAAAGAAATCTACTTTTTTATGGTGCATTGCCATAATAAGATGAAAAATTGCCTTAGCATTTAAGACAACTATATCATTCAACATATTTAAATGGCATATTTGACACACAATACAGTAGTTGTATTGATACTCCATATAATTTTTGAAGGATATTAACCAAAAATAAATGCTTGCATGTTTAGTGCTTTTTTAGATGTTCATTTAACAGTCTTTCTAAAATCTTATGGTTTTGCTCTTCTTTTCTTGCGGATTGGAATTTTATTTTCTGGTGAGTAAGTTCATGGGTCTAAGTTGCATTCTTCTTTTTCTTTCATCAATCAATGCATGCTTGTCTGTTTGTGTTGCGCTGTGTATCTTTGGCTCTTAGATAGAATATCTGGCCTGAATAATTTTACATTTGCCAGAATAATCATGAAATAAAATAACTTCAGTCACAAGAGAGATTATCTCTTCAATATTTCCTGGCTTCTCCTCTTTTGTGTCATAAGAACTGTTCATTAATCTGGTAATTGAAGATTCTTTAAAGCAAAAGTGGCTTCATATTTATATTAATTAATTGTGATACATTTCAATAAACTGTAAAGTCTCAGACATAAATCACTCATATTCATTTCCTATTTGCGTTAAGCCATACTTCACGTGAACATATCTATTCTAGTTGCTGCCTGAGTGCGTTGATTTTTCTTTTACTGTCTTTAGAAGTGGTACACCGTCTCCAAAAAGGACTTCAACCACTTGCCGACCAGCGTCAGCTAGAAGTAACCGAGATCGTTTTACTGGTGAATCTTATACAGTGTTAGGTAAAGCATTATATATTAATGTTGCAGTTAGTCTGATTTGTCTACATATACGCATAAAAATATTGTCTTCTTAAATCTGTCTTTGTGAATAAATGTAATATCTTAAAGTTTGGAGATGGTGTGTTAGATCAAATATAAAACCTGAATAATTTTACTGATGAGAAATCACAATGTGGAGTCTTGTAGCTTAGTGGTTGGAGCACTTGCCTTGCAAGCGAGAGGACCAGAGAGGGAGAAACATTAGGCAAGTTTCCTTACTCCACACGCCTCTGTTCACCTAGCTGTAAGTAGGAACTCGGTTGTTAGCCGATTGGCTACCCCTGCTTTTCTGGGGGTAATACTCCCTACAAAAAAAAAAGAATAATTTGGTCACTCAATCCTCGATTTTTTTGTGGGACACCGCTGTGCGCAATTGGTTGCTGCGTTTCACCCACAAAATTTACAGTCAATTCACTTTCCAGTGTATGCTGTGAAGCGCTTTGAGACATTCAAAGATGTGATAAGACTCTATATCAAATGCAAGGGTTATTATTATTAATTCAGGCTTTCTCTTTGCCAAATTTGGGTTGGTGAAAATGATCATGATCATTGTTAGTTTAATTGGGTTCAAATTAAGTAAAACAAATGTAAACAATTTATCTTGTACCTTGTTGGCTAGTAATCCATGAGGCTGAAACCTTTTTTTTGCTTAGAAAACTTCAGGTTGGTGGCAATATGGCTAATATGAATGTATTTGAAATTATCTAGATTCTCTTGTACAATTGCGTATAAAGTATAAACATTTATTTTTCTCAGAGAATGTGAAGATTGCTTCAACACAAAACATTGCCTGAAAGACCTTTACATCTATGCTTAATTCACATCTATAATTTAATTTAAGGTTAAATCACATCTATGCTTCCATTGCAGGTGACTCGGTGATTGAAAGTGGTCAGCATTACTGGGAAGTAAATGCTCAAAAAGACTGCAAATGCTATAGTATGGGTGTATCCTACAGAAATTTAGGAAAATTTGACCAGCTGGGGAAGACTAATACTTCATGGTGTATTCATATTAACAACTGGTTGCAGACCTCCTTTGCAGCCAAACATAATAACAAAGCCAAAACCATGGACATGCCAGTTCCAAAAAAAATTGGTGTGTACTGCGATTATGATGGAGGTAACCACTTGTTTATCAATAGATTTGTCAATTTTTTTAATGTCTTTTTCACAATAATACTCGCATTTATATACTCGTCACCACATTGTGGTCAGAGGGAGCACAAGTTTTACTCAACCATATTTCTGCGTAGAGCTGTTCTAGTTTTATCTTTCATGACAATATTGGGCTTCAATGGTATTTGATTCTGTTTTATTCTGTTTCATATATCTCTGACCAGAGCTCAATTATGTAGTGAGGTTCCATATTCCATTTATAATTCAAATCCTGTCCAAACAGGATATGCAAGTATCTTGTGTTTTTCCCCATTAAAGGATGTGACCTTTAGAATGAGTTAAGAACTCGATCAGGTCAGCTAAGTCAGTTCAGAAGGGTAACTTGAGGTTTATCAGACGGAGGGCCATGCATTTTAGCACAGACATAAATGCAGGTGGTGGGTCTAAAGAGGATTGTACTCTGAGGGGAGGATTATATTTTCTCCTTTATTAAGCAGCTAGTCTGAACTAGAACACTCTTTTGAATCCCTCCCATTATTATCATAAGCCTATATTTTATAACACACAATAGATGTATGCATTCTGGTAACTTTTACTGTTGTTTTGAATGTTGATTGGGTTTGTTGATATTATATTATATACCCTTTGCAAATATAAATGTCCTGCTCTTTGTTGATGCCATATTTCTTAAAACTGAGTTTCAGCAATTGCAATTTTTTTTGTTGTTTTTAGGTCATATTTCCTTTTATAATGCAGATACCAAACAGTTGTTACATACTTTCAGGACAAAATTTACTCAACCGGTAGTTCCTGCATTTATGGTAAGTGCAGTTACTCAGTGAAGGGCGAGGGTGGGGAGAGTAGATGTTCTTAAAAATCATATACTATAAATCAATATCTAGTAAGGAAGTCTTAGTCAATTATTTATACAAATGAAGAAAACATTAGAACTATAACTAAGGGTACATATGCAAGGTAGATCCAGCCTAGCTGGTCAAGCCCTGTGTTGGAGACATGTTCTAGACCAGAATGGTGTCCAACCTAAACCTTTGCAGGCCCCATAAGCAATATTTTTGTGTTTCCTTTCCAGAAGCATAACACAGAGTGCCATTTTCACGTCTGAAGGACATCTCAAAGCACTTGACACTGCAGGCTGGGCACCCGAGCTGGGAGTGGGAGGTGAGGGGGGAGAGGAAAAGATCAACGAAACACAGTCAAAAGATAAGGAGACCCACCTGCTTTGGAGCTCAGTGTAGTTTGGATACTCTGTTTGGAACATGATGGGTTTCCTCATATGTTAGACACCTGACTGACCAAAACTAATTGGAAGAATCCTGCATTGTTGTAGGTACCATCCTTCATTTGGGATGTTAAACCCTGCTCCTGTTTGTCACATAGACATTCCAGAACCCATGACACTAATTGAAAAGAGAAGGGAGTTTCTTCTGGTGACTTGGTTACAGTTAAATGGCACAAATCCCTCCAATCCGGTTCCCCCCGCCGCCGCCCACAGTACCTAGATTGCCCTGGTGAAACTTACCAATGATCTGTGACAAGGACTCTCTCAGTTCTTCATTCTTCTTAGTTACTTCCCTCACCTCCTTTAAGATCCATTTCAAGTCCTTCCTCTTTGACCACGCGTTCGTCCATCTTTCCTCCACACCCTGGATTGTTCAGTGCCTTGAGATGTCTTCCCACATGAAAGACTATATGGAAGTAAATTTGTATTGTTGAATTGGTTATTCATCTCTTGTCTGTTTGGAAGACTTTGATGTGTCCAAGTTGGCTCCTGTGTTAGTGTTAAACAAATAGTCACTACACTTCACAGTAACTATTGTGAAGCACATTTTAGTGTGACAAAGCATTGTATCAAATCCAAGGAATAATGCAAAGATTATCTAGAGTTATCAGGAAGCATTGTCCAATTGTCAATGTTGAATTATATAATGAACAGTATGGTTAGAATACGAAGCACAAATATTTTAATAGAATTCATGGAAAAACTGAAGTTTGCTAGTTCTTTGTTAAATAGATAGGCTTTGAATATTTTAAAATGCCTGCATGGATTATTTGAGTGTTATTGTGAACTGTAAGGAATTCTTATTGTTTAACCACATAAAAGGTTCTTTTTTTTCCCCCCTCACATAGGTTTGGTGTGGTGGCTTAACCTTGCACACGGGGCTTCAGGTGCCGAGCAGTGTAAAGTCCTTTCAGAAGGGTGATGGATTGAGCGGCTCTGCAAATAGTTTAATTAGCCTTCCCCAGTAATCGTTTGTCTCGCATTGACCTGTATAGAGTGGTGATTTTTAATGATTTGCTGATTTGGAATTTTGTGCGGTATATGGAATGGTTTACATGGGTTTGATTTGTTGGACCATTCCCATTTTTCAATTTTCCTGTTCTTTCACATCTGCTTATGACCAAAATTTTGTCTCGGGCAAAGGTTGTTCGTACATAACTCAGGGTTAAACCTGTGGCCAGTCCTCCATGCACCATTTTCTGTCAATTTCCTAAACATCCATGGTATTAAGTATTTTTGACAGGCAACTTGTTTCTTTCACCCTCCACACGCACACACAGACACACGCTTGTAATCTTGATACTTTCTCTGACTCAGAAGAGCAACACCATGTCACCAAAGGAATCATAATCATTCCATGGCTTGATGTAAGGGGTTGGCTTTCTAGAATAAAGGCGGATTATTTCTTGAGAGTGGGGTAGCTGTACCAGAGTGGTAGAGAATTGACAAAATGTGTTGCGTTGTTGTTAATCATGGAGTTGAAATCCATGGTTGCAGCATTATCGAGAGAACCAGAGCCGTAATGCTAAGAATCCCCTTAAATATGCACTCCCTGTATTGTGACCGGATGGTGCGAACTATACTATAAATAGAGTAAGGTGTGAGCAATCACAACTTTGAGCAAAAGCTTCCATTATTTGAACGAGAAATCGCATACCAGTATCGTGGTAAAATTTGACCAGCATCTGAAATGATTACATTTCCAGGCCTGAAATAATCATAAAATAGTGTTTGCCTTGTCTTGCATTTGGCTTTAGATTATTTAGGTAACACTGAAATGTGGAAATCTTTTAAAGCAAATTGACAGTATGTTCGGAGTTTAAAAAGTGAAGCATTTATGATGTGTTACTTTTACTAGAGTGTTATAGTTTGTTGGACTGGGTGGACATATTTGACCTTTGTCTAGGTTGAAAAAGTTTAATGCAGTCATCTATCTACGTTCCGCATGAAATGATTGAATTGAGATCCGTTCTAAGAGAGCTTGTAATGACCCGGATTGTGCTTGGGATTCTCCAAGGTAATACAAGCAACCTGTATTGTAAAAAGTCTTAACTGAAATTTATTTTGGTATAGTTACATTTGGAGCGTGTTCAGTGACTGTACACTTGTATAAGTATACAAGTGTCAATTAGCATGTGTTGTTATCATGTGACTCTGCTTCAAAATCCGAGGGCTGAGGTTTATGTAGTGTGACTGAATTTAGCCCAGTCTGATTTTAAATTCAATCCAGGGCTCAGATTTATCAGGCAGTTTTATTATGATATCAGCATTTTTTGTAAACTAATTAATCTTTTTTCCTACTGTGCTGCCAGATTCTGCTATTCTACACAACTACTTGTAAACCATTCCCAGGCTGTGCTTCTATGCACTGAAACCCCTTCATTTACGTTATTTCCCATCCAGTCTGTTCATAACATCCAAAACTGTCAGAATGCATCTCATTACAATTTCTCATCATTATTAATTTTCTTCATTTACTCTTGGTCTGAATTCCAACCAGAAAGTGTAATGTGATTTCTGCATTTTAATACCTTCAGTTTTCCTCCAATTTGTATTGGAGTTAGTTGGTTATAAACGAGTACATTTGATGTTAAGTGTGACTATTGTGGTTAAATAAGTCACTACAATAATAATAATAAATAAGTCACTACAATGTTAATAATAATACAATAATAATAATAATTATTAGATGCTGTTCAGGCTTGCATTTGGACTGAAGGACTGACTGATTAGCATGTAGCTGAATACATATCACTTGAAATAGTTGGACTTCCAGACCATTTCAATTGTTCCTTTACATTTCAATTTCCTAATGCTTGGATATATTTTATTATTGTTTGATTTGTTTACTAATAAAACTGCATTACTATATTTTGTAATGGTTCTAATAGTGAGATTTTTTAATTAAGTGTTTTGAAGGACTCATAATTACTGAATACTATTCAGGGTAGCTTTGCTAAAATGCTATTTGCATACATGTGTATGTGTGGAGAAGGAATTTGTTTTGATAACAACTATGGCTTTAGATTTGGACAATGGTTCCATATTCAAGGATGCCAGGTAAATATTTCAGCATTGAAAATTAATTGGATTTCTTGCGGCAGTATGTTTTGGAGTTAGTTACCTGCGGATTATGATGTCTTTAGACTTGCCTTCTGTTTGTATGAGCCATGTGACATCAAGTTAATTGGATTGGGTACTTGCCGAAATTAACCCGCAGTGCAACAACTTTCTGTGGATGTTTAAAAGGCAATGGACTGGTTCTTTCTTAACTCATCATGTTTCCTCAAATGCATGCTTTGCTGTTAAACACTAAATATAAAATGTAAGTAATCCTATGATTATCACATACCATTCTATAGTGTGGGCTATAAACACTTACAGATTCAGAATTTGGCTACCTGTAACAGATGTTTTATAATTTCTGTGCAATCCACCTTAATAGCAAAATATTGGCTCTATTGAATGCTAGACACTGCTAGATTCAACTAAAGTATTGATTCTATTTAACAGCTTTTTGGAGTTGTGTGCCTTCTGTGTATAGTTTTATATAGTCGTGTACTTCTGCTTGCCAGTAAAATATGATTATTTTTATTTCATGGTTCGAACAGATAATGCGATCAGGATGAATATATAAATGGGTATGTGGTCATGGATTTTTTTAAGCCTCTTCTATAGTTAATTGAATTTGAACTATAAATTAATCTTGTGTCAACTGTTCATAGAAACTCCTGTAAATTGGGTAATGTGTTGGACTCCTACACAAAGGATGCAAAAGCAGAACATTGTTTGGTTCATTTTGAGCTGAAACCTTTACACATTTCTGGACCGAAAGATGCCATAAGGCTTCACCCAGCTAGATGTTTACCTGATTACAATACCTGTACTTGTGTAAGCAGAACACTATACTGTCTTAAAAGCAAGTGTCAAGTTTAATCCAACAATACCTATCCTTTTCCAAGAGTTTTAAACTCTGTGCTGCGATGTTTTCGAGGAACCTAATGAGTAACTTAACACAATATGTGTGGGGAAAGGGGGGAGGAGTGGCAGTGTCCACGCTGTTTATGCCTGGGATGACCTGGATAACACTGGGATGAGCTGTATAACATTAGTAGTACAATGCTCAGCTACAGAGTAAAAATATTTATGGGGATGTTGTCCTACAAAGAATGAACTAAATTATATAGAAACTTCCTTTCAGCCCACCTTAAAATAGTAATAAATATGCAAAGTTACCTACCTTTATTTCAACAACTGCACATGGTTTAAAACACTTTGTAAGGGATTATTTTTGAATAAACTGACTTAATAGATTGTTTCCCCTTTAATAAGGGGAACGTTGTATTTGCTGCTACTATTGCTAAGTGGAATATTATTCACTAACCCTACAAACTGCAACTGCTGAGAAAACCCACTATTACACACCTTTGCTATGCAGTTTCAACAGTAGTTGAACTAATTACTCAGGGTAGAAATTACCAAATATAAAGCGAAAAGAAAACGGATCATGGCATCTGCACAATAAAATTTGCTTTGAAAATTGTATTTGTTTCACAATTAATGTACATATTTGTAGAACGTGTTTCTTAAAGCTTTAGTCCGAAAGTAGATACTGGAGGCGATACGTAATCAATAAGTAATGGGTACTTTTTTTAATCCTAGTTACACGCTTTCTTTAGAAGCTTATTTATTATTTAAGACCTTCATCAATTTCAGAAGAGCAGCCGGATCAGGTGTGGGGATTGTCTGTTGTGTTAAATGTAGTGTTTTAGCTCTCTTTTGAGATTGAGTATCTGAGACTTTAATGGAGCATTGAAATTATGGCTTTTTCAACAACAAATTTATAAACTGTTAATCAAAGTACATTATTAATATACATGTCTTAAATGGATCATAGAATCTAAATTCTTTCAACTAGTTTTCGTTTTTGGACATAGAACCAAAAAAGGTTTGAGATCTGTCCTCAACTAAATGTACCGTGGATTGTGGGGGAACAGTTCAAAATTTATATTATCCTTTCCTGTAACCAACTGGCAACTATTGACCTTAACTTCAGCCAAGCTTTATATGCCAGCAGAATATCGTAAAAATGTTTGCTTTCAAATGCCCTTTAAACCCCACACCTGTTAAATATTGACAGTACAAGGGTTTTGAGCTTAACTCTGGGTTTTAATAATATAACCAAGTGTTTTCAGTAATTGCACACAATTGAATTGTGAGAGACGCATGTGTATCTTTAGTGACTGGGTTATCCGAGGACCAAGAACGTACAGATATTCACTTGTCTGTCTTGTAAATACGGTCAGGTCATAGGTGCAGTTTTGGAGGAAATTTATATTTGTATTCCGGTTCAGATGCTGCAGTGAATTCTTGCCCTCCAGGGGATAAGATTCCATGAACATCACAGTTTGCAATTCACAAAGTAAGTCAAATCTTAATTTGCAAATTTCTCTAGCATCAAGATAACCCCCTCCCCCCATTGCTATTGAGGATACAGTATTCAGAAATCGGCCTGTTTTGTAATATAATAATCCTTACATTTGATGTAGTGCCTTATGTTGTTGAGATTCTCATAGCGTTTCACAGGATATACTGTGAAGTGGTGTGACTGAGTATTTTGTGGGTGAATGCGTCAGCCAATTTGCCCACAGCAATGTACCACAAACAGCCATGGAGTGGGTGACCCAAATTTTTGAGTGATTTGGTCAGGAGACCAGGAGAAACTTACTTAACAAATAGTGCCATGGGATCCTTAACATCCACCTGGACAGGCAGACGGAACCTCAGATGAGGCATGGAGGTGATGGGTTCATAGAGCCTAATGCGGGAGTTTCAGAGATCCGGATGATCTGTAACAACAATAAGTTGCGTTTATGTAGTGTCTTTCATGGCGGGAGTAGGTCCCAAGCCACTGGACAAGTCGAGGGTCACCCCCGAGCTGGAGGTTAGATTCAACTGGGATGGGGTGCAAGGGTGATAGGGCTGGGAAGGTCAAAAGGTCTTGAGACGGACCTTGAAGGAGGCAAGGGAAGGAGCACGGAAAGGGTCTCCGGGGTGGAGTTCTAGAGAGTTGGGAAGTCTAGAGAGCTGAATTGGCATACTCTAGGGTGCACGTAATGAGTGTATGGATAAAGGGACTCGGTAGCTAAAGGGACAGGTGGTGAAGGTGGGAGAAAGATGAATGGGTCAGAGCACAGGTTTAAGGGGCAGTTGAGTGATGATCAAGACTAATAACATGGTGCCATGGGATCTTTAGCATACGCCTGAACAGTTAAATGGGACCTCAGTTTAAGGTCATAAAATACACAATCCAAAGGATAGCAACCCAACGATACAGTGCATACCCAGCAATGCGGTGTCACCTCCCACAGGGTGCTCCAACTGGCGGCCAGCGGGCCGATTTCATCCCCCACCCTCCCTCCATTTCATCTGGCCCACCCGCTCCCTCCATAACCCGTAAATGTTGTTTCTGGAAGAGGAAGACACAAAAACATTAATTCTGTGCCCCGTGGAGTTTCTCCAATAGGGCATCTGTCCCTCAACAGCCTGAGGTTGGACCATCCTGGACGTGAATTCAAAAGTGCAGTCTTGGGATTTGAACTCATAATCTTCCGGCTCAAGAGACCGGAGCGCTGCCGATTAAATGAGGCTAACTAAGTGTTTAATGTAGTGCCCTGAAATTCACGTAGTATAATGTCTTAACGCACTTCACAAAGGTGGGGTCCAATATTGAGCAAGGAAGAAGGGGGATCATAGGCATGGGGTTTTTGGTGGGATTTAAAGATGGATATGGAGAGGGGGTAAAGAACAAAATAATAATAACCATTGCATTCGATACAGCGCCTTATCGCGTCATTGAGACGTCTCAAAGAGGTAGGGTTTTGGTGAGATTTAGAGACCAGTACGAGGTGGGGCAGGGACCAATGAATAGTATGGTTAGAGCACTCGCTTTGCCAGTGAGAGACCTGGGTTCAATTCCAGGCAGAGGGCGAAACCTTGGGCAAGTTTCCTTACTCCACACAGAGCCTAATAATAATCCCTCCAAAACCAAAAACAATAATAAATTGGTCATTTTCAATCTACGACTGTTTGTGGGACATTGCTGTGCGCAATTGGCTGCCGCGTTCGCCCACAAATATACAGTCAATTCACTTTACAGTGTATTCTGTGAAGCGCTTTGGGACGTCCTCCCGACGTGAGAAGCGCTATATCAAATGCAAGGATTATTATTATCACGCCGTTGAGATTGAGACGTCTCAAAGCGCTTCACAGAATACACAGCCAAGTGGATTGTGGATTTTGTGGGCGAAAACAGGGAAGAGCAAGGACTCGCAGAGGTTAGTAATAAATAATAGCCCCTCGCATTTGATACAGGTGCCTTATCAGGTCTTCAAGACAACAACAACAAGATTTCATTTGTAGAGCGCCTTTCACGCCGGGAGGACGTCCCGAGGCGCTGGACAGTTGGGTCAGGTTGGGTGGGGAAACGGTCAGGGTGAGGGGAGGGGAGCGAAGACGTTCTCGGAGCGCTCCACAGAACATAGCGTTGGGGCCAATCGACCGTATCCTGCGGGCGGAGCGCGGGGGGAGCCAATCGCGCACGGCAGCGTCCCCGCAAACAGCTGCGGGTTGCGTCACCAAATTATCAGTGATATTTTTTTTGGGGGGGGGGGGTGGGGGGGGTGACCATGACCAAATTAAATGGATGCAGTGGTTGGTGGTTGATGTTGAGATGGAGTGGGGAGTGGTGGGGGGGGGGGGGGGGGGGGGAGCAGGCAGCTCTCTGTCGCCTCCCTTGCGGTGCGAAGTGTGTATTACACCCACACACACGCACGCATGCGCAGAGCGTGCGAGGTGAGGCCGAGTCACGTGGGTGCGGGCGGAGGCGTCACGTGCCTGCCGCCGCCGCGCATGCGCCGCAAAGGCAAAGGAGGGTTCAGCGCGCGCGGCGACCGTTGGGCGTCTTCTCGTCCCCGCGAGTGAGCGGAGGCGTCGCCGCCGCCGCCGCCCGACCGCCGGACCGCGGCCTGTCCTGTCCTGTCCTGGGCCTCACCGGCACCGGCGTCAGGTCAGTCACTCCCAGGTTGACGTGTACGTTTACCGGCTCTCTCTGTGACGGTCTCCAGGGGCCTGAGCCAAGCGGGTCACCGGGGGTGGGGTGGGGTGGGGGGGCTCCCGAGGGCCGACTGACCCCCGGGCCCCCGGGACTGGCACTGGTCAGCAGGACCCTGGAAGGGACAGACCAGTCACTTATAAGGGGCGTCGCTGCACTCGGCTCCCGGTAATCGCCCGCCCGCGGGTCACAGCCCTGAGCCGGAGCGGCGGCGGCGGCGGCGCTTTCCCGCCCGTCATTACCGACACAACCACCGAACTGTCATCGGTGAAGCCGCCTCTCACAGCGGTGGGGGAGGGGGGAGGGGGGGGGGCGTCCCAAGGCGCTGCACGGTCAGGGATTAGGACCTGGGAAGAGGGGGTGGGGGAGGGGGTGACCCCGTTACCCCACCGTTAACCCACCGTTACAGCAGCAGCAGCAACAGGTCCAACGCGACGCAACGCGGCGGCAACAAAAAAAAACGCCGCCCCTCACATCATCATAATAATTCATAATTAATAATAATGATAATAATCCTCGCGTTTGATACGGCGCCTTATCGCGTCTTCTCGACCTCTCAAAGCGCTTCGCAGTTTAGAGGGTCGAGTGAATTGACCGGATGTTTGGGGGCCAAACGCGGCAGCCGGTTGCGCGCGGCTATTATATATATATTATTATATATAGTATATATATTATATTATAGCATATCATAGCTATGATAATATATGTTGTATATAATACATATATACATTATATATAATATACATATTATATCATAGCATATCATAGCTACGATGACATAATATATTGTATATAATACATACACATACATTATATATAATATATATGTTATGTTATAGCATGTTATAGCTATGATAATATATATTGCATATAATATATATATATTATATATAATACATATTATATTATAGCATGTTATAGCTGCCAAAGTTATGTTGGTTGTCGGGTGGAATTTAACGACAGACAGAGGGAGGGGGACGAGCTGGAGGGAGGGAGCACCGGAAGTTATTATAATCCTTGGGTTTGATGGAGCGCCTTATCGCACATCTTCTGGACGTCTCCGAAGCGCTTCACAGGATATACTGTAACGTGAATTTTGTGGGGGAAACGCGGCAGCCAGTTGCACGCAGCAGTGTCCCACGGATAGTCGTGGATTGAGTGACCAAGTAATTGTTGTTGTTTTTTTGTGAAGGGATTATTACCTCCAGAAAAGCGATCCGCCAATCGAATAACAGCTGGGTTCCTGCTTACTGCTTGGTAAGTAGAGGTGTGTAGAGTAAGGCAAGTGCCCAACATTTCGCCCACGCCGGGAAGCAAACCCAGCAACAAAACGGCAGAGAGCATATGTTCTCTCAGTGTGGTGATATGCTGTCAGAACTTGTCCAATGGAGGATACGGAAGCAAGAGCAACCAATAAAGTAGGGTGAATGTGGTGCTGAGCTTGGGACAATAATACAAAGGAGCCATTGTGCATAAATAATTGTGAAAAAACAGCAGTCGTGTTTAAAGATCAGCCAGTTTTATCTCGTGCATGGGTATAAAAGATCTGGTACAATGTGTATTTAGGTTTATTTCTCCCTCAACGTGTTTAAAATCAACAGTAAAATCATTGAGGGATCATCTGGAAAGTTAGATTCAAATAAAAGGGCAACTTAGTAATGGCCGATATGATGCATCAGATGGCTTGTTCCATGCTGGAAATTTCCGTGTTTTCTACGTCCAAAATAAACTACAGCCATATAATGCTGTAGTTGGTGTGCCGTGTGGAATTCATCTTCAGTGTCTGTTTTCCTCTCTTCAGGCGCATTGATATCTATTTCATTTCAATTCTATTGCAGCGAGATGGCATCTTCAAATGTTTCTAGTAAAACTATCCTATTCAAAAGGGAAAAAGAGTTTTGGTATCGTATTCCTTCCCTCCTCCACGTTCCAAACACAGATACCCTTTTGGCGTTTGCTGAGAAGAGACTGGGACCCAAAGACGAAAATGCTGATGTGTTAATGCTACGGAAGGGCACCTATAAGAAGCCTTTGAAGAATTTTGAGGTAATTGGGAACGGGGATACGGGGATGAGTCTTGTGATGGTTAAGAAGTTAGAGCACTTCATCAGGTGTCAAGTCAGCCTGACTCAGTTGGTAGCACTTTTGCCTCTGTTTTTTGTTAAAACCCCTAATTGTCCAGCATCCTGGGACATCTTTCTGATATGAAGGGAGCTATACAAGTGTAATTTGTTGTTGTCAAAAGGAGACTCTTCGCATAAGTCTATAAATTGTATAAACACTTAAGTCATACATTCCACCCGAGTCCTATTCAGTTTCCTATCAAAAACACTTTGATTTCTTTACACGATTCATATTAATCACCTCTTAACTCGTATTATTATATTATTATTATATTATTAATAACACCGCTCCCCTACCCTCCATTCCTCCTGCGTATACCAGAGGCCTTGAATCACAGGGAATCTCAGTCTTAACCTATGACCTGATGTGCACTTATCAGCTGCATTAAATTACGCATGAATTAGATTATTGATTAAATCAGATTTTCAACGATTTCTAATAGTTTACCTGCAACTTCACGTAAGTCATATAAAATGTTATGCTCCTGACTGATATGACTTATGTGAATTATACTGTATCGGCAGAAAATAAGAAAAGCTTTTTAATGCCCTATGCAAGATAGAGATCCATGTATGTCCATATAGGTTCTATATGTTCTCAAAAGTCAGAATGTCACTTATATTCAGCCTAGGGTATGAGGATGTAATTTTCTAACTGGGAAGTTCCAGGATGTATGATTCAGAACAAGATTGTGATTCAGGAAAATTAAATCAAATTTTTATATTACACAAGTTTCCAAGCAATCAGGCACATGTCAAAAGAAATGAAACCCCACCTAGTTTAATGCAAATAAAAATGCTTTCAGTGTTCAACTCAGTTCACTGCTGATGTATGGTCAGATACCGAGAAACTATTTCCTCTGGTGGGGAATCCGGAACATGGGGCATAATCTTAAAATTAGAGCTCGGCCATTTAGGAGTGAAATCAGGAGGCAGTTTTTCATGGAAAGCATAGTGGAAATTTGGAACTCTCTTCCCCCCCCCCAAAAGGTTGTGTGTGCTGGATTCATTCCATTTTCAAGACTCAGGTGGATAGGTATTTATTAGGTCGGGATATCAAGGAATACGGGTCAAGGGGGGTAATTGGAGTTGAGGTACAAATCAACCATGATCTTATAGAATGGTGGAACAGGCTCGAGGGGCTGAATGGCCTCCTCCTGTTTCTATGATTTTATGTAATTGCTCATTTCTATTTAATTTTCTTTTACTTTTCACAGTGGGAAAATGTTACAAGCGTTCAGGCTGCAAGACTGAAGGACCACAGATCCATGAATCCTTGCCCTGTTTACGACAAAGATACAAACACTATCTTCCTCCTCTTCATTGCTGTCTTTGGAAATACACCCGAGCAT